TCCACCTGCAGGTGTAATCGATACCCAGGTGGTGCAGTGACTCAACTTGCCTGTCTTTGTTGCTGCTGGGTTTCAGCTGCACGGAGCAGTAGGGGGAACAGAGGGGAGGGGAGGGGTTTGAGAGGAATTCCTGTCTCAAGAACCACAGAGGCATTTTCATGCCTGGCATTCTTTCCCCAAGGTGGCCCCTCTCATCCTGGAGACAGCGTGGCACCTGAAACCATGGGCCGCGTGACCACGGGTTATTTACAGCTGCAAAATCAGGAGCAGAAGATTGATTTTTTTCAGATGACAATGCTAGCTGAGCTGAGGGAGGCTGAGGGGCTGGATGTGGAGGAGCTGGGGTATTTCAGAAGAAACTCGGCATGATGAGCCTCGGAGTGACTTTGGCTCAGAGTTGTGGTTTGACAGAGGAGGGTGGAGAGTGTGTTGTGCCCACATTTGGCTCATTGATCTGCTTTCTTCTCCATCCCACTTGATGGATGGCTCAAGGAGGATCCTTCATATACAAGCTTGTTCATGAGTAGAAACTTGTCCAACGCATCCTTGCCTGCCATCACCAGCTGTCAAAAAAGAGAAGGGTCATGTCAGGAATGAGCCAAGCATTGGGAGCAGAGGAAATGGAAAGGAATGGTGAAGATCTACACCATGTCCCCGACTTGTGGGAAGAGTACCAACCTTTCCCATGCAGTAACTCAAATTTTTTTTCTGTGTTTCACAGAATCATAGAATCATAGATTGGTTTGAGTTGGAAGGGCCCTTTAAAGGCCATCTGGTCCATCCCTCCTGCAATGAGCAGGGACACCTACAAGGTGCTCAGAGCACCTCCAGCCTGACCTTGGGTGTCTCTAAGCATAGAGCATCCATCAACTCTCTGGACAACCTGTGCCAGTGCCTCACCAACCTGACTGTAAAAAACCCTTTCCTTATATCCAGTCTAAACCTCCTCTTTTGTGGCTTGAAACAATTTCCCTTCGTCTTATCAAAGCTGTAATCCTCACATCCTCTGTAGGCCTCACATCCACTCGAACTCAGCAACACAGAAACTAGAGTGTCTGTATCCAGTTACAGCCATCCCTGGATTTGAGATCGAGAACATTAAAAGAATGAGTCTGGATATCACCAAGAATACTCTCACATGCCTCAAGTGCCAATGCACTGCATCTGTAAAAGGTTGGTGCCAGGCAGTCCCATTCACTGGACCTGTGCACTCTCAAAGCTGAGTTCTTGGTGTGGGGAGCTCAGACAAAGAGGACTGCAAGTAAGAGAACAAGCATCAGCGTGAGCACTTTGAATGGTTGGACAAAGAGCTCATCAGAAGTATGTCCCAGGGCTCTGTAACTCTGATGCTATTCAACACACTTGTAACAACTAGGAGAGGAATGTGAATAGCAAGTTAACAGTTTACCTGTGGCCCACAGTTATTCCAGAGAGACAATCTGAATTTAACTGCAAAGGATTGCAGAAAATCTCTTGTCACAGAGGGTCTTGGCCCTCCCTGACAGATTACATAAAGCGGCAGCAAATGCAAGGGAATTCCACGGGGAGGAAAACAACCTGACTGTGCTGATACACTGAGAAACTCCAGGTCAGACATTGGCAGCAGAGAAAGAGATCTTGGAATCATTGCAGGCATTTTGCTGAAAGCTCTCTTGAGGCTCCGAGGAAGTCAAACAGAAGCATGAGGAATGTGTACAGAAGAATATGCCTCCTCATACTGCATGGCTTTCTGAACATTTGGAGGTTTCAAGTGCTTTCAAGAACCACTTAGAAGAGCTTAGAAACACTAGCATGCATAGAGAGAATGTCAGCCATGATCAGAAATAGGAGAGAGAGTCTGGACGGGAACGGATTGCTAGTCTTGGAAATGAGATGCCTGAAAGGAAGCCATGAATGGTATGGGGAACGTCAACAGAGAACGAACATTCACGCAGTCTCCTATCACATAACCTAATGGCACCTGATAAAGTGATCAGGCTACAGGTTTAAAACAAACAAGCTACGTTCCTTTCCACTTAGGCGTCAAGGAATGATGGAGCTCGTTGCCACAGAATGTTATAGAAGGCGATGCATGAACAACATAACCATGTCTGTGCAGTACAGCTCCTGTCATTGCTGAATACAACAGCAGAGATACTATCTTTGTGTTGCAAGTGCCCTAAGCAGTAGGCTGATGGAAGATGAACTGATGTACTGGGATATAGTTCACTCTTCCTCTCATTCTTATACTTCTTTCCTTAATAACTGGTGATAGCTAGAGAAGAGATATTGGATGTTTGATCTGGGATAGTACAGATTCTACATTTTTAGTAAAACTCTTTTTTTTTTTGCTTTTTTTCTTACAGCCATCCTCCAAATATCTGTCAGCTGGCCAGATATTGCAGGAGAAGCAGAAAGTGACCAGTGAGCTGGAGAAGACTGCAAACTTCCAGGCGGACAGCTGACATACCTTATGGACATTCCTTGCATTTGTTGCACTGGTGTGCTAGCCACAGGATTAACAAGAAACAAGGCCACATGAGTGAAAGTGAGCAAAAAACTGAGCAAAAACAAATTATTAAAAGGAGAATTGTATTGTTTTTCCTATTAACTTTACCAGGGAGATAGATGTCCTTTCACATTTAGGAAATAGAAGAGAGACTTAATGTTCTCCTGCTGAACAAACAGTAAATACGCTCTGGATGTAGGATCCAACAGCTACACCTGTCCAAGCAGGAAATGTCAAGTTCCATATCAGTAGTGAAATCTGGATTCCGCGTATTTGCAACCATGGGTAGGATTTTTGCAGAAATAACTGGGAGTAAAATTTGTCCCCAAGTGTGCTGGTCCTCTCAACTTGCATAGATTCATTGCTTGAGGCTGAATATCAGTTGAGGAGTGTAGTTTTGCATGGATCAGCTGGAAGGAGGTATAAGCTGCCCACGGGCAATCTTTGCAGAGGAGTTATCTTCAACCAACTACAAGCCCAGGACTGTGGGATGCTGGCAACAGAAACAAGTTGATTGTGTCTTAGCAGTTTCAACCAGCACACAGTCCTAGCCACAGCATCTCCAGGGGTGTTTCACAACACAGGATCCTGTCAGAGCTCAGGGAGGGGAAAGAATACACTTTCTGTGAAAATTACCTTCTATTTCTTTATGCTCTTTCCATGTCCATTTGCTGATATCCACTGTGGTTTTTTAATGAATAATTCAGAGACTACTGTGTTTAGGACAATGCGTGTGTGTCAAAGAATTTAAGCTGTGGTTCTGCTTTCTTTCTCTGCTGCCCAGTTCCAGACCCCACCTTCCCTCCCTGCCCAGCCTACTCAGTAGACAATGTTTTTCCATTTAATTTCATGAGACAAACGCAAGGCATTCTCATCCCTTCCCCCATGCTTGGAGAAGAACAGTCCACATCTGGAGGCCATTCACAGCTGGAAGATCTCTTCTGACATTCCTTGCTTTGAAATCTAACCCATGTAACCTTCTGTCTAAATACTCTGTGCACGGCAGAAAGGGGCTTTGTGAAGGGAATCATTGAAGCAGCCTGTGACCCCTACATCCTTCTGCAAGTGTCAGACCTCAAGACTGCAGAAAATTTTCCCCACAGTGTAATTGTTATTTGGTTTAGGACTTCCTAGTTTTATGTTCTCCAAATGCCAGCTTTGAAAGCAATTTGTAAAGTAACCAAAGCTCAGAGGACTTTATTTTCCTGCAATGTTAAACATGCATAACAACAGTTAAATGAATATGTCTGAAGCACTTTGTAGATTCCAAGATTCACAACCAGATCTCCAGTTGGTGGCCTGTGGGCTGCATTTTGTCTGTAGAGCAGTTTGCCCAGCTTCCAATGAACTTTTCCACAACTGAAAAATAAGACATCAGGTTTTTCACATCATCCTACTCAGTTAGAGTAAATCCCTGTAATATAATCTGACCCCTGTTCACCAGAAGGGTAGATAGTTTGTAATTACATTTTAAATGCCTTGGAATGGAGACTTGCTTGTTATCTTTGCATGTCCTTAGCCCATCTATACCTTCGTCTTTGACTGCATTACTAAGTGCTTTACAGTGCCAGTAAACACACTCATCATTGTCATAAACACCTTTGTCATGACTAATAGGACAAAGATCAATGAGCTGCTGGCCTCTCCTATGAGGGCTGGCACAGGTATGTCTTTTGAAAAAAAAAAGAAGAAGAAGAAGAAGAAGAAGGAAAGATGTGTGCTGTTTGCTTCCCAACATTATTCTATCTGCTTTTATGCTCTGATAATGTCAGTTGCTCCCTGCATTCAGTAGCACAGCCCATTCCTGCAGGTACTCATTCTTTTGGCTGTGTGATAGCCTCACCTGATTCACAGTACTGGGCCTCTGGGACCCAGATTATGTCCAGCTATCTTAACTTCCAGCCTCACTGAGGCTTTGTTGTACTCTCATTGCACACCAGCTTTCATGGAAGCATCCTCCTCAATGTTGCTTCTTGTGCTGCAGACCTGAGCAAACTAACAAAGCTATACTAATCTGGAAAATGTTCTTGGGTGGCTGGTGAACTTCTAAAGTAAGTGAGCCTTAAGAGATACATATGTAGGTCCATGCACTTGAGAGGTGGAGGAATATATTATAAAAGAGTTATACTGATTTTCCTGTTCTCAACCCCTGAGACATTAAATGTATACCTTCACCTCTTTAAAAGTTAATTATTATAGTATATGATCTATGACATCCTGTTTTACTTCACACTACTACAGGCAGTGTTCAGCTCACACGTCTTAGCTGAGAGGATAGCAATAAAGTGCTGAACAGGAGTGGCTGAAGTCATGGCACATCTCCTATGGACTTGTCTGACTCAATTTTTCAAGGCTGTCCCACATAACTAATATAATTAATGCAATAGCCTACACGTATCTGGGCCATATACAGCCTGTTGCTACCTGCGTTTGATTCACATATTACTATTTAGGACTGCAGAGGGAACTAGGTTCTAGGGAAAAAGGGGTGCTTTTTATCATGCTATAATTGCTCTTCGTGTGTTACAGTCACCAAAACATCTGGAATAGGCATGTATTTGGGGCGATATCGCTGGCTGTGCCTTGAGCTTAAGTGACCCTTAGGCTAAAAGAATACTTTTAGCACTGAGATAAAGTTACTCTGATAGAAAAGGCGTAATGGTACTCAGTACTCTTAATGATTCCTTACTCAAACAGTTTGAGGAAAAAAGACGGTATTGTAACTGTTAGTACTGTTACCAGCTCTGTGGCAACTATCATAAAGTAGGATCCCAACATGGTAGGTGCTGCTCAGAAATGCCAGACACTGCTATACTTCAAGGTAAGTGTGGTGCTGAAATGCCATAACGAATGCCACCACAGAGATTTGGGTTCCTGTTTTGGAATGCAAAGCTCAGCCATTGTAAGGAGCCTTTTTCTTTTCACATACTCCTTGGTTTGGGTATTTGGGGAAATATTTCTAAACCTGAAATGTTGATCTCTTCACTTTGGCTATTCTATTGCTGGTGACTGTGTGATTGACTTTGGAAGCAACCAGGCCAATCACATCTGGATTTCAGGCTCTTCACTTGCTGTAAGCAGCTTGAGATGGTCACAGCTCCTGTCAGAGACTGCAGTGGAATTGTGGTTTCCTCTCACTCCTGATAATCTGACTCTTGCTCCTGGCATCACAGGCAGCATGCTTCCTTTTGACAAGAGATTGAACCAGGGTAGAGCAGGGATGGAACAAGCAGTTCTGAAAAGCTGGGCTTTCACACATCACGACAAGATTTCATCATGTGAGGATGGAGGCAAGCAGAATACACTACTTAAGGGAGAAGTTAAAAAAAAAATCATGGAGTAATGGAAAGAGTTTGAGTGAAAGGAAATTTTTAGTTGAATATCAGGAAATCTTTGCTAGCAACTGCCTTTTGTTAGTGTGTGGAATAGCTTCCCAAGGGAAGCCCAGTAATGGAAGCCTAGCCTATCAATTCTGGTTTCCAGAAATGGCCTAGATGCAGAAGAACACGCTGCTGGCCAGGAAACAAACTTGCTGTGGCCAGGGCAAAGACTATGGGTGTAACTCTCTACCATATAAAGCCAGCGTAAGTGTTCTTAGTGACCTCAGGGAACACAGACTTCCACACAGGAATCAACCCAGTACTGATTTTTCATCTCTTCTGTATCCGAAGGTATTTCTTTTTAGTGCACTGGTGGTGGCAGAGTAACCAGGACATCTGAAACCATGCCGCTTACACTCAATTCTGTTTCTCATTTCCTTTCACCGTTAAGAAAAGGTGCAAGAGTCTCAGAGATGCACAAAACAAAGGGAAGAGAGAGACAGAGCTCCTTCCCCCCAGCAGAGTAGGGGAGAGCACATCCATCCTGTGAACTGTGCATGAAGCCTTTAAAGCTGTATTTGTTCAATGAGCAGAAACACTTTGGCTTCTTGTCTGGCAGGGTCAGGGCTCAGGGAAGGAAGAGATGCCTTTCTGAAGGTTTGTTCTTCACCTGAGCCCTCTGTTCCCCTGGGACTCCTGTCAAGCAGTCCTTACAGCAGAGGCAGATTTGCTCCCTCATGCTGACGACTGTCAGTGGAAGCATCTGTCGTCAGTTGTGCCCCCAAGGTGGCACCCTCCTGATGACTCTTTATAGTCATTCCTGGTGTTCCCCAGCTTTATTGAGGTGTGTTACTGCTCAGGTGCACAGGGCAGCATGAGGAGGGTGGAGGCAAACTGTTGTGGTTTTGAAAGTAAACAGTTTAAGCAACAGTAACCTCTCCACCCAGGTAATCACAGTGAGCAAACATTCTGCATGTCAAAGGTGTTTCTGGAGATAAGAGTTAGTACAATAAGTCTCTTGCTTTCTTGACTTTATCTAATGCTCAGGACTTAATTCCACTTAGCTCCTTGCTGAAGGGAAAGGGCTGTCCCTCTAAGCAGCAGTGCCCCACTAGAGACTACCTGTCAATTTTCCAAGGCTGACAACGATCTCCCAAGGCTGTAAGCATGGTGCTTTGCGAAAGGTGTGAATTTAACCCCTAAAACTTCACCTTTGGCTTAGAGATCAGAGTATATGTCTGATGGAGAGGGAAAAGGGGTGACAGATATAGATGAAAACTCATTCTGATGGCTTGGAAATTCAGCTTAATAGTTGCAAGCTGCACTTTTGCCTGCAAAGCAGGCTGAGGATTTTATATTTTCTCTCCTTCCCCCTCCTTATTTATTTATTTATTAATTATTCGCACAAGTACTGCTTGCTGGAGAACATCTCAGTTTCCTCAGTTACTCAGCCAAGGGGAGCTCAACAGAAGAAGCTCTGCTGAAGCTGCTACTGAAAATTTGACCTTGTGACCTTTCTGCCATCTATTGGCAGGCCACTGCCATGTTGTGATGATTACTTAGCAACGTGGTGACAACTGTGTTGAAGGAGTGACAGCTCTGTCATACCAAAGGTCTGGTGAGACTGAAACTCGTAATGTTTGCTTTGCAACATTGCAATGCTTGCATCAGTATATCCCCAACTCATGAAGACAGATGTAGTAATAGAGTGACACTGCCTACGTGTCCGTCTAACTTCCATTGATGTGTGCTCTGCCGTGGCTTTTTGGCTTGGTTCTCCCAGTGTTCCTGCAGATAGAAACCAAGCTGGGAGGAACTGCTTATCTGTCTGATGGTAGGAAGGCCCTACAGAGGGATCTGAACAGGTTGAATTGATGGTCTGAGGCCAACAGGATGAAGTTCAACAAGACCAAATGCTGGGTCCTGCACTTTTGTGATAACAACCCCAGGCAGTGCTGCAGGGAGGTGGTGAAGTCATCTCTCTGTTTAAGGAAAGGGTAGGTATAGTACTTAGGGACATGGTTTAGTGAGCAACATTGGTGGTAGGTGAAAGATTAGACTAGATGACCTTAAAGGTCTTTTCAAACCTTTGTGATTCTATCATTCTGTGATACTTGCAAAGATCAAAGGGAAAGTTGTATAGTGGCATTTCTGTAGATCTGTACAGCTGAGCTTGGAACTGTGCTCAGGTTCAGTGACTTACAAAAAAAAAAACCAACAAACCAAACCAAGCAAACAAAAAAAACCCAAATGAACAAACAAACAAACAAAAAACCTCACATCTTTTCATTTGCAGTATTTTTTTTTTCTTTGTAACAGAATACTCCAGACCATGACAAGTGAGAGCCAGTGGGCTGTGATGTAGAAACTTTCATGCGGATAGCAGTTGGTGATCAAAACTACCTCTACTGTAGATGTTGAAAACTTATCAATGGCTCAACTTCAGAAATTACTGGCCGGGGATACTAGCAAATACACCCAAGTGACATTCCTATGGAGGTAAAGATTTAACCTGGTGGTACTGAACTCATTTATCAGGAGAATTTCAGGTCATTGCTGAAAGTATTTGCACATTGCACAAATAATAGCAGAAAAAGGAACAACAGCAAAGTCAACTTAAATCACACAGGCAGAGCTAACTTTATACTAAAGTACAGCAAGTGGGACATTTTCCTTGTTTTTTTTTCAGTCCTCTGTCTAACCTGCGCAGCAGTAATGTGAACATGGTATTTTGCAAACTCTTTTTCTTTGAGAGATCAGGGACTAGATTAATGTCTTGTGCTGTAGGATTTCTAACCCTGGAAATGAGGTATGCAAGTGAGGGCAGAAGGACTCTGTCTTGGTTCTGTTCTCAAAAAAGGGAAGGGAAGGTGAAAGGATCAGGAGTATAGACATAGCTGGTGAGACCACACTGCAGTAATGGAAGCATGTCTTCTGTTTTCCTGCTTGTAGCTCTCAAAGGGTGCTGAAGACTGGAAAGGACTCAAAAGCAGTTTATACAAGAGAATTGACTTAATCACAGTCTACAAATACTTCACTTGGGAGAGAGATTTCTAATAGTAAACAATGCTGACAGAAAGGTCTCGTTGAAATCTAGGTTACACCTACACTAGTAAATAAATAGATCCAGGGCTAGTTCTCTGAACCTGAGGGCAAGTGGCACAACATCCCTCTGAATTAAAGTCTTTCTCCCTTAAAGTAGGCAGCCCAACCACTGCTGGGAATGGTGCCCCAGTCTGTGGTATCAGACTTTGCTTTGCTGTTTTTAGGAGAGTTCCAGCTGGCACAAGCCAAAACTTGCCAGGAAGTACACTAGCAGCTTAACTATGCAGAAAATTGTATGCTGGTGCTTGATTTGAACTGCTCAGTTTACTAATGCAGAAGTCAGCTCAGTGGCTGGCAGAAAAAGGGTGTTCACTCCAATCTGCAAGGCTCATTAGCCAAGGAGACAGTTCAGAGAGTTAAGTTCCTCATCATTTGGGAGTTCCTCAGTGCAGCCTGGATGTCATTCACAAAAGACAGGGATGTAGCAGAAGCCACGGCCTTTGTCTGAACAGGAGAGAGCCTGAAGGCAAATGCTGTCACAGGGTCAGCTCAGGTGTCTGCAGCATCCCATAGGTGCACCTGTGTCCCTGAAGGGTGTCATAACTACAGGGAAAGCATCTATGAGAAAGTCTTCAGGATCAGAAGAAGTTTTATTGTTCATAGCCATTGCTGCTAGGAGTCCTGAGCTGTGTGGAAAGCACTTGATTAATTCTCTCCACCTTCAAGGTAGGAGATGCACACTGTACTCCTTGCACTCCCTGCTGCTTTCTTCCATGGGAAGTTTCAGTACCTACACATAGCCTGAAAGTGAGGGGAGTTCTGGGGGCCTAGAAAAAGAGAGAGAAACTTCTAAGGGGTGAAGGTAAACGTCCCAAACCATGACCATTTTCCAAGAAGAGATGGAAGAAGCTGACTGAGATTCAGCGGGACTCATGTCACTTTCTCTGAATGTACGTTTTGACTGTGCACTAGTGAACTGAGTGTCTGAGTCAGGGCCCCTGGAAACCTGGGAGTGAGGAGGTGGAGAAGGAATAGTTCAGGGATCTTCCCATTATGAAATATAGTGGGGAAGGCCAGCTTGGAGGTGTGGTTCCTCTGACATTCCTGCCTCAGTTTGCCAACACACAGCCCCAAGACATCAATTGGTGCTGTCTGGGACAAATTGTGCCTCATCAGATTTGATTTGTGATCCTCAGATTTTTCTTTCACAACAACAAACAGACTTCAATAGATCTTCCATCCCCAAAGATCTCAAAGCTTCTAGAAGATTCAATTTGTGCTTTTGCTTTGAGCCTTCTGTGTAGGTCTTGGAGGGTCCTGAAGAACAAAAAAATGGACATGAACAAGCATTGTCCACTTGCAGCCCAGCAGATCAGCAGTATCCTGGGTTGCCTCAAAAGAGAGGCAGCCAGCAGAAGAGAGGGGATGGTCCCCCTCTACACTGCCTTTGTGAGGCACCACCTGGAGTATTGTGACCAAGCCTGGGGTTTCCTCTACAGGAGGGATGTGGAGCTATTGGAGCAGGTCCAGAGGAGGGCCACAAAGATAATCAAAGGGCTGGAACACTTCTCTGTGAAGAAAGGTTGAGAATTGGGCTTGTTCAGTTTGGAGAAAAGAAGGCTCTGGAGAGACCTCATTGCAGCATTCCAGTGCTTGAGAATTTATGAACCAGAGGAGGACTGACTTTTTACATGGTTTGGTAGCAATAGAACGAGAAGGAATGACCTGAAACAAAAAGAGAGAGATTTAGGTTAAATGTTAGGAGGAAATTCTTTAATCAGAGAGTGATGAGTCTCAGACACAGAGAACTGTGGGTGCTCCATCGCGGGAGCTGTTCAAGGGCAGGTTGGATGGGTTCCTGGGCAGCCTGATCTGGTGGGCGGCAGCCCTGTCCACAGCAGGGGTTTGGAGCTTGATGATCTTTAAGGTCTCGTCCAAACAAACGGTGATTTTAAAAGAGCTCTCCCCAGTCTTCAGTGTTGAGGTTAAGCCAGCTATAGAAGTGGCTATAAAGGATTGTTGGAAATTGCAGCCATTCTATAGTCTAATTTCCGTTTAATAATTCTTGAGTGAATTTTAACCTTTGAAGAGTGGGAAACAGTGGTTCTGCTCTGGAAAAGCTGTGAACCATACAGTTAGGCCTGTAATGGATTGTAGTAGATGAAAATACCAGCAAATTCCGGAATTTTATTTATTTATTTAATTAATTAATTTTATTGAGAATGTTAGGAAAACGTCTAACTAAATGCCCTTTTCACCATTCTCCTAACTTCTAGTCCTCACCCAGAGCAGCACGTCTGCACAGCTATCAGCCCAGTGGGAACAGCCCCTTTGAGATGTTTACCCTCCTGTTCACTGCAGCCAGTCTTTCTAGTTTCACAGCCTCTGCAAGGCTGCAGGCTTCTTTTTTGGTGTCATCCAAGAAACACACCCACATCTCTCTCTCCAGCCTCATCTTCTGCTTCCCTCAGAGATTCTGCAGCTCCCATAAAGGAATTTCAAGCAATGTCAATCACAAAAGCTGTCATAGAAATTACAGATGGAAAAATCTTGCTAGTTCATCCTATCCATCCCCTCACATTCTTGTCCAGCCCAGTTTCTGCAAAATTTTTGCCTACAGAACATTTTCCAGTGTGTTATCCAGTCTGCTGGTGTATGATTTAAGCAATGGGCATCCACTGCTTCCATGTGAGACTGTTCCACAGACAACTACATTTCTCTGTTTGGAAGAGGTTTGTGAAGATTTTTTTCCATTCTGCCTGACCTAATTTCTCTAAGTTCTTTCCTTAGTAGCACATTACCCAAATGTGCCCTTCCTTTGTGCTTACCCTGTTCAAGTGTTGGCAAATAATTTGTATTTTGTGGCACTTAATACTTAGCTTTAAATCTCAGCAATTATCATCCTAACTACCTGGGAAAAAGTAATGGTGAAATTAATGTGTGAATTGGCATATAGAGCATGCAAGACATTGCTAGTAGCACTGCCTCTTTATTATAGTCACTTGACACATTTCATCATAAGGTTTGGCTCTGTTGTTTTTATTTTTTTTTATTTACTTTGCCAAACTTGAAGCCAGCATCTACCATCTCACATCTGTTTTGGCTATTTTATTGGGTTCTTTTTGTTTTTAATTTCATTCCAACCCACTTAACTGTTTCTGACAACAAGGGGAATACTTATTTAAAAAAAAAAAAAAAAAAAAAAAAAAAAACAAAAAAACACAAAGATGATGTTTTCACTTAAAAAGAGCCCCTCTCAATACTGTCTTCCTTTAGAAGAAATTACACCCTTTCTGTTAGGAAAGCATCCTTTTCCATCTTTCACAAAATCCCCGCCTCATATCTGGCTAAATAACAAGCTGCTGAGTAATTGCAGCTTGAGCCTGCTCAGAAGAAACACAGGGGAAGGACATTTGTTAATTATTTGGGTTTTTTTTAACAGCAAGCCTGATGGAAACAACAGCACTTGAGAAAGGCCCAGGTTGCTCTACACTTGGGCCAAGGGCTGTGACTGCCTCACCCCAGCCTGCCCTGGCCCAGGAGGCAGCAGCCATGCTCACAGTGCAGCCGGGCCAGTCAGGCAGCCTAGGGGGACTCAGGCACCCAGAAATCAGGCTGTGAGGAGGGGAGAGAAATACAGAAGGAAAGAGGGAGACGCCCAAGCTCTTTGTGTGCCATTGCCGAAGTACTTCTCGTTTCTGTTTCCACTGAGCGAGGCACTCCCTTCCCCACAGCTGTGTGGGGAAGCCTGGGTGCCCGTGACTGTGGCCGAGCTCAGACGTCCACACCACAGCTGGGGAAGCACGTGCAAGGGAGTGCTGGACACCGAACCCTCCTTCTTCTCAGAGGCCTTTGAATGGCACCATCAGCTGCCTCAGGCGTGCCGTGGTGTGGGGCTGGGGCCCCAGACTTGTAGCACCCTTGCCCTGTGTCCAGGCCTGGTTCCCAGTGCAGTGCACAGGCAGCATGGGACCGTAGAGACTGAGAGGGATCTGACATCCTCATTAAGTCTGGGAAAAAAGAGATGCCCTCAGGCTTGAATCTTGGATAATTACTATGATGTCCAGTGAGATAAAATGTGGAATTACAATATTTAGCGCTGTTTATTTCAAAGCAACCTCTGTAACATAACCTCTGCTCAGCTCTCTAAGGAAGGGTGGTTTTATGATTCCCTTTAGACCACTGTCTCAGACCTCAGCTCCTCCGACTCATGCTTCCTACCAGCTCTGCTCTGTTGGGGAAGCTGGCCTGAGGAGCTCCTCATGCCTCCAGGTGGCTGTGCTTCCTCCCATGCTGCCACCTGATTCATGAATCCTTCCTTTCCCAGTTCTCTCTCCTTTTTTTTTTTCTCCTTTTTTTTTTTTTTTTTCTCCGAATGCCAAGGGAAGGAGTTTTTAATAGCTGAAGAACAAAAACACCTCCCACACCTTACCTCAAAAAAGCTAACTCTCTGTCTTACTCATTTTGATTTCCAAACCTCTTCTGCTAGCTCAGAGTCTGCCTTTGAAGCTTCAGTTCCTCAATTACTAGCATGTGAGTATAACTTTAGTAAACCATAAAGCTTCAATGACCTCCAGGGGACAATCCGTGTGAGTAAATAATTCAGATGTGCAATTGAGACTTTAAGCATTTAGCAGAGATAGAACAGTTTTCTGATGGATATTTTGAATAGGTTGAAATGAAGATATAACAAGGGAATAGAATGATTTAAATCCAGGATGTACTACAAGGACCTCTCCCGAAGTATTTTATTATGATGGCCTGTGACATCAGAGGTGGATATTGGTGGTATGGCAGTAGAGGTTGAACCTTCCTGCCGATATTCTGTTCATTATTTTTTTTCTGTGAGATAGGTGGCAGCAGAGGGGCATTCTGACAAAATGGAATTTGACATGGAAGTGCTTTTGAACCGTGTTTGAGTCCCTCCGTGCAGAAAAAGTTGCATCCATTGACATTCGTCAACATGTTGAATGTTGATGGAGATCAAACAGTGGAAATGAGCGCAGTGAGGTGGTAGGTGATTTGTTTCAGCAGTGGCAACACCAATGTGAAAGACAAGCAATGTTCCAGATGTCCATGCACAGCTGTCACACCATGGAAAGAAGAACATCCTGAACAGTTCATCTGTGCAAACTGAATGGTAACCATGTTGAAAAATAGTATTTTGTAGCTGATAATTTGCTCTATCAAATAGCGCTATTGTGTTCTTTGTATCTGTTTTAGCTTCCATAGAAATAAATAGGAGACATTACTTTCAGAGCAACTTTACAAAAAACCTCGAGAGTAGCCTTGAAGGTCTTCATGGTGTCTAGGTCATGCTGGTGCAGGTGAATTGATTGGGTATTCTTGGAGGTTTCCTCTCCATATTCTGATTCACCATACTGCAGTAAAGATTTAACAAAGCTGAAAAACATTGTCTTGATGTACTTATTTCCTTACATGAAATCCAAGTGCAATGCGGTTGAACTATGGGTTTTTTTCTTTTTTTTTTTCTTTCTGTTTGTTTGACAATAAGATCACCTGCATATGCAACATACTCTCTGAACACACTAATTTTAGATCCTTGGCTTTTGTCATTATCAAAACAGTGTCTCTTTCCCACCAGCTCTATGTTGATTCCAACATCAACAAGAATCAGCTGTGCTGTAGAAGTGTGTCCGTGGGAATGACTGTGAAGGCCCAACTTCATGGTGTAGGGAAACAAGCTATTTTTGAACTATCAGTCTATCTGTTGCAAAGTGGAATTCAGCACAGTTTAATTTACTCCATTTCTGGACTGAGGTTTATATCCTGCACTGCATTCCATTTTGCTGGAGCAAAATTGTTAGCAACACCCAACTAAAACAAGCACCAAATGTTTACTCTCCATCACTGCCACCGCTTTGACTGCAGTGTAAACGCACCTCTAATGACTTGGCCAATAAGAGGGGAAAATCGTGTGTCAGAGCCAAGTACAGAACCAGGAATTTCGGCTGCCAGCCAGCTCATTAGATCACACTGTGTGCCTCTAATGAAATGCATTGATTTGTGACTCCTACAATAGCATTTTTAGGAAATCATTTCACTGGCTATTTATTTGCGTCTTGGAACAGACTGATGAGGTGGGAAAACTGAAGCAGACACACGCTGATTACAAATCAAGAACAAAGTTTTAAGAATGAGGCTAACTAACCATTGGAACAACTTTTCTGAGAATGTAATGGGTTTTCCATCATATCCTATTGCATAGTCAATACTACTTAGCTGTATAAAATATGTGCTATAGCTCCAGCAGGAGCTCTGTTTTTCCCTAGAAATGATTGAATTCTTTGCTTTCTGTTACACAAGAGATCAGACTGTGGTGTTGTACCAGTCCCTCTTGACGACAAAAAGCCATGTGCCTGTGACAGCTGTTGAGTCTGGGTGTTTCTGATTCTTTGCAGGAGCAGACTGAGATCCCATAACCGGTAGATTTAAAACTGGAAGAAAAAAAAAAAAATCATAAAGGGGATTACCAAATTGTAAAGACGTACTCTGCAGAAGTGGACACTGATTCTGACACTGATATAAAGTACTGTGATGAAATAGCAAGCTCAGAAGGCCAGTGAAACTACAAACTCGCAGCATTTCAAAGCATCTGGTAAGATCTCACAGAATGTCTTGACAGTCAAAAAGAAAGAAAGAAGTGAGGTGAGTCCATGCTCATTTTGTACTTCACTGGGTTTCTCAGAAGAGCTGATGGCAATAGTGATGGATGAATAAGGTGAGCTATTACCTACTTGGTGGTTTAGATGTCTTGTTTTCCTGGACTAGATCTAATTTCATATCCTTATAGATACATATAAGATATTGTCTTCTGCTTGTCTTCTTCTAGTTTGTGGTTGGGTTTGCGGTTGGCTAAATTTGATAAAAAGGTTTTGTTGTTTTTTTTTTTTGCTTTTGCTTTTTTCCCGCTATGTTCTCAGCTAAATATGTCAGAATTGTGCAAGTTTTAGCATTCTTTGAAAAGCACCCCTCTGTCAGGTAGTCTTATATTGCATATCTAGAAATGGATGCATCTGGAATCTTTAAGTGAATCCTCAAAGTCTGTGTTGGTACACTTTTTTGATTTCATTTCCATGTGGTTTTGAATGTTTCAAACAATCAAGGTAAAACAGAAAAAAATTAACTAAGACTTGCTTAGGGAAAAAAAAATGTAAAGTTCTGTTCAAATTAATGGCAAGGTTCTATGTTCATTTTTATGCTTGTTCCAGCTCAATCTTTATGCCTGTTATGCCACAGACATGCTGTCTAGCAACGTAAGCTGTTCATGTTTAAAAACAGAATTCACCTTTAAATGTGCTTTGACTAAAAAAGTGCCTGGTGAGGTCATTCGCAGAGCAAGAGTTAATGCATCATACAAACAGCTAAATAAAGGTTACAATCTGAGTGGAATTATTCGGAGCTCAGGCAGAAATCTGGCATTTGCAGTCTGTCACTGGCTTTAAGAAGTCTGGCTCACTCGGTGTCACTGCCGCCCAGACACATCCTGCTGGCTGTATGGCAGTGAGGGAGGGGACAGCAGCGTTGGATGTCTTCCTGCAAAAACAGCACAAACAGGAGCAGAGGGTGAACGGTACACGGAAGTGTCATGTGTGAAGAATGTGCGGAATGAGGGGTGAGTATGAGCGTGCCTTTGTCCAGGTTCCACAGGGTGACTTTATGGGTGTAAATAGCCATTTTTCTCCTCTCTTTCTCCTCAGGATGGCTGAAGGACTGACGTCTGGAGAGTGTATGGTCCCTGGTACACCTGGGATGCAGAGCCGAGTAAAGTGCTATGAAGAGCTGTGTGCCTCTTGGGATCTGCCAGCTAAGTATTGTAATTATTGGGCCCTGTCTGGTAAGGGTTTGTTGCCCTTCTTTATCACCAACAACCCTGGGGAGTTAAGGGTGTCACTTTTGGGCAGGGTACACCCTAAGTGTGTGTGATACAGCTGGGATGAAAACGCACCTCTTCTAAATCCCCAGGCTTTTGTAGTTTTGGCAGTCCCTACAGAGGTGTTCTGCTGAGATTGTGTTGTGTGTTTTGTTCCCTTGTTTTGTTTCTGTAAGCCAAATGCTTGGCTGATTGCACAGGAAACCAACTGCTGTGGGTATTCACTTCAATGGGCAAACTTGAAACAAGTCACCAGGGACTGGCTACTACTGAGTTCAAAAAGAAAGAGACATCTCAAACCTGTAGCAAAGCCAAACTGTGGTGGGAAACACGAGATGCAAAGATGAGAAAACTGGAAGGCACAGCAGGGGGAGAGATGGATAGAACAATGTTTTCCTGTCCGTAATTCATTAGATTTAGGCAAAGCTGGAATGGAGATTTTAGAAGAAAGAATATTTTACTAAGGGAAATTTGTCTAATGTCAGGAAACACACTCTTGTGTTGGTGTTCTATGAGCTGTGCACAGTAATCTGGGCATGGAAACACTCTGAAAAAGTTAATATGTTACTTGATAAAATGCTGCAAAAAGTATTAAAAAGAATAAGTTTCTGCAGGACAGAAGAGGGAGCAAATGACCTGTGGGCTTCTGCATCCATTTCACATTTCCCCATTGATTTCAGAAGTCTCTCAGGCTCAGACAACTGAAAGACAAGGATCCACTGCCCAACATCCCCAAGAGAAGGAAAGAGAGTGTGTTTATACCAATGAGGGGGAAAAAAAAAGAGGAAAAAGAAGGGGAGGGGGGAGGGGGGAAGCCTGCAAAAACAGAAGGGATAGAAGTCCAAACTTGGATTTTGCTTCCTTCCCCCAGGCTCACACAGGAATAGCGGACTCCTGAAAAAAAAAAGACTAGAGAAAGATTGCCATCTTCTGGAAGGATAAATATCTGCCATTATTCAGGATTCTAAATCTGGCATATTTTTAAAGCCATAGCATATATGTGATAAATTTATTTTTAAACCTGAGCCCATGTCCATAAATCTAAATTCAGTCACATTTCATTAATATATGCTCCATGATCCTAGCTTTAGGAGCTGACATAGCATCCTGGGGTTTAATGAGAACTCGTGCTTAAAATTAGAACCTTATGAATATTAGGGATTATTCGTAGTGAAATGAATTTGATTTTTTATTGGGCTTGAAAACCAGTTGGGCTTTTTGTTTAAACTGAGCATTAAGAAGTCAAATTTAAGGTCTTCAGATGCAGAGACTAAACAATGAATGAATACTACTGCTCTTCTTTTAAGCATCAGCTCCTTCAGCAAATTAAGAACATCTGTGTCAAACAGAGCCTTGCTTTTAATCAAAAAGCCCCCAGACAGCTTGTGAAGCACAGGAACTTTCAGCATTGCCTTCAGTTAGCCCATCTTAGTGATGATTATCTATATTAGAGGAGCTTAGGCAGTGGCTGGGATGAAAATAACTGTGCAACCATCAACTGTAATGCTGGAGGCATGGAGGGTCAGTACTCTGTAACAGTGCTGCCTCTTAGGCAGGCTCCTGAACCCCTGGGCTGTGCAGTCCCCAGAGCTATTGGTGCACCTGCGTCTCATGATGGAAGCGTGGGGTGGGAGCAGCACCGCTCTCTCACACTTTTATTCCACGTGGAGCTGCTCTGAGCCCTCTAGCGACTGCTCCTTCTCATGAGAGGTGATGCCATTGCTGCTGTTCTGCTGCCAAACAAGCTGTAACTAAGCCCTCAAGTATCACAGGGCCTTTAAGGTTTCAGGGCAGGAGCTCAGAGGGGACTTTGGGTGAGTGTGAATCTTTCTGTTTCTTTCTAGCTTTCCAAATTCATCTGATGCGAAGCTGCTAGGAGCTGGAATTCCTGGTGAAATTCATGCCTTGGTAAAGCTGCCAATATGCGGGACACCACCCTTTGAGTACTGCACTTGTTAGACTCACCGCTGTTTCGCAGAGCCTGTCTGTCACTCAGCACTTGTTCTGCTAAGGGACTCCTTTTTTTCATTACAACTCCCATTGCCCTTGGGGAGAGCTGGAGCAACGTGTATTTAGAGTCTGAAATGCACAGTACTCAGAGCAAATTCAGCCACATAGGCTATCCTAGCCCCATGTTTTATTTTTCCCCTTTCTGTGATTGGAATCTGGCCAGGAAGACATCCCAAAGATGGGAACTTTGGGTCCTTGTCACCTGCTGAGGCCATGTGCACAGGAAGGGGCTAATTGGTGCCCAGAGTGTTGGTAGTTTCTGAGCTAAGGTCATTATCCCCTGCAGCACCAGTCAGAGAACTGCCATCTCATTCCATTCAAGTTCCCAAACAGCCACTGCCCAGAGATGGCTTGGAATCCTTCTGTGCTTCACTGAAACTTTTTACTCTGTGAATGCTGCGTTTAATCCCAGTCTGCAGCACCAAGCATTTCCCATATAATCTCCCAGAACAGCTGTGCTGTGATTGCATTGTGGATTATAAAATGACCATTTTCTACAAACCAGCTGCTGGCTGGAGGGATAGCATTTAATAATCATGGGGAGGGAGTGGGCAAGGGAAGAGAGGAGGAGACGAAGGAGAAAGGAGGATTGAAGCAGTTTGGTTTCTTGGGAAATTTAGAGACAAGTAAAACCGAAGGCAAATTGTGAGTTCTATTTCTGTATTACTCCTCCAAATTAACAGGACTTCAAGACTTGCTAGTAAGGTAAATTGAAATTTCTTTCCTTTGGGGGGTTATCTAGGTACTGTGGTCAGTTGCTGTCAGTGTATGGCTTTTATGGAGGGAAACATTTCTGAAAATGTTCTCATGAAGATGTTGTTCAGATTTGCTTCTTATCCCCTACAGTCTTAGCATCACTGGTTGAGTTCCTGCTTATGAATCATTTCATTTCTCTTTTTTTTTTTTTTTTTTTTTTTTCCCTTGTCACTGGTTCTGAAATAATATGGCCTTTGACCAGCTGTAACAAATCAACTGGAGAGAATATTTCTCCTACTACTGAGGATTTAAATTAGAAAAAAAAAATGTTAGGTGGTGTTTTGTTTGTTTGTTTGTTGTTTTGGTTTGTTTTTGTTTTGTTTTTTTTGGTCAGCATTGTGAGTGGAAAGATTATTTTCAATAAAAGTGTGAACAAACTGAAACCTGGTGAAGGAAAGTATAACCAAGAATGAGTGAACAACCGACAAACCACTCTGAAGGTTGGTGGTATCCAATATGCTTCCAGATCATCAATATGCGTCCAGATCAGTGAACTCTTTAGTTACCATGCCACTAAGATAGAGATAAATGGTATCTCTGGGGTGCAGCATCTCATTTGCTGAAATAAGTGCTCTGAAGGAAGCAAAAGATGCCAGAACATAAGACAGTACAGGAATTTCTAATGAACTGAGTATTTTTTTTGCCTTTGATGAAGATGTTCTGGATCAGGCACTGCTTTCTAAGTGATGAGATGCTAATCAAATCTTGCCTTCCAAGCAGTGTTTCAGCAGCATCTCTGTTGGCCGCATTTCTGAGCTTGCTGGTTAGCAGAAAAAGTGCTTCTAACTAACTGCATTGCTTTCATCTGTATTCCTGTAAGACTGTCACAAATAACTTGATTGTTTATTTCTATATTTTCATAGTATTGTCCACAGTATGCTGGGCCTTTCACACACCTTCAGCATTGGGTGAGTCAACAGAAGTTGTGTGAAGAGGCCAGCAGCAGGCAATGTCTGTACAAACTCAATCTATTCGTGGTCAAATATATTTTGAGAGTCATAAATAGGAAAGGGTGGGAGTATCTGGATGAAGTTGTGCCAAACATAGGGTGTGCCATGTGGGAAGAGGCATGCGTTGATTACATGAAAGTTGATATGTGGGTAGATGACATCTAATCAATCTGTGGAGTGATAAGATGGGTACTCAGAAGTCAGTGCACGGTTTTGAAGGAACCTTAAAATCTTAAGCTTCTCTCTGAGAGAGAAAGACCACAGGACCCTGGTACACAAACTGCTTTCAGAATTACTTACTGCAATGAGCTAAAACTGAGAATAATGTTTGTGACACCATTCGTTCTTAAAACAAAAACCCCACCCTTTTGGCACTTTGTGTGAGAACACAGACACTGTTATCCAACCATTCTACCAAATTTATGATGTGCAGAGCAGTGCTTGCTCAAGTGGGAAGTACTGCTCTGAGTTTGAACTCAAACTGCTGGGGGTGGGTAGCTGGGTGTCCTCCTGGGACAGGCCACTGCTTTAAGTGTGATCTGAGAACATTTCCCTGTCTTTCCCCTCTCTGAAATCAGTATCCTATCTGCCTCCCTAGGTAAAGGAATTAACGGTGCTTGAAGAAGCGTTTTGGGGTACGTGGCAGAAAGAATTCTCGTTTAGCTGAACAAAGTATTCGTCATGTTTCATGTAGTGGAAACACTCGGCATTTGGGGGAAGTTGGTTAACAGCTCTTATCTACTGTCTTTGAAATGGAAATAACAATCACTTCTCTCATTTTCTGCGTACGCACACACATACCAGTGCATTCAGTCCCAGTAGTTCCGCAGGGTCACCGTCTCTTCCCCAGTACACACCTCAGCATATTTTGAAATGGTTGAAACTAAGCTATCTCTCCACTGCTCTGGCTTTTAGGAGAAGGGTCCTTCTTTGCTGGAATGTTGTGAGGAGCACAGACTGCTTCTCCTATGCATATCCCTTCCCCATGTGTTCCCCCTGGAAAAGCTAGGGTTTGTGACACTAGGTGGCTGGTCTGACAGTCCCTGTGTTTCTGTGTTGTAGATGGAGCTGCTGAAGATGTTGCCGTGGCGCCGTGCTTTCCTGGCAGTTATCCTGAACCTGCTGGCACTCAGCCTCTCCACCACTGCCTTGCTCAGCAGCTACTGGTGCACCGGGACCCAGAAGGTGCCCAAGCCTTTGTGTGGGAAGAGCAAAGACTCCAAGTGCATCGGTGTCCCCATGACGCCTGATGCAGCTGCTAGCAATGCTTCAGCTCAGGAGGAGGTTCATTACAGCTGGGAGACCGGGGATGACCGCTTTTCCTTCAGATACTTCCACACAGGGATGTGGCTTTCCTGTGAAGAGAACATGGAAGGGCCAGGTAGCGTCTTGCCCAGATGGCCACAGCTTTTTCCCTTGCTTTCACTCCACAGGAGTTCAGAATTGACAGGTGGAGGCCAAGAGCACTTGAGAGAAAAGCCTTCTTCGTTTTCCCTGATGGCACCAACCCTGTGCACTGTCTTTGTACTTCTGTCCTTCACAGAGATGTTTACAGATGGTAGCAAGGCAGAATGCCTGTCTCTGGCATGCCCTTCTGTCTGGAACAGGAGCTGTGGAGTGCAGGTGATGGTGACAGTGACTTTGTGGTTGTACCATTCATCCTGATGGGCACTGGAGTGGCCCTTCTTTCCTTTCCCCTGAGCTCCATTCCTACACATAGTTCACTTCATGCTCTACAGGGCACATCTGTGCATATCCCCTGCGAAATTGAAACGGGGATTTTATTTGGTGTTGTCAACTTCTAGTTAACAACTGTGAGGATTACATTTGTTGACATTCTCCTTAAATCACCAAACTGAGGAGATGTATGAAATGAATAGGAATTGGGCTTTTATCAAACAAACAAAAAGCAGTAAGGAGAGAAAGAGAAGTCCTGCATTACAGATGCAGAGAAAAGCTTGAGAATATGACCAGAGAGAAATCAAAGGTAGGAGGCAAATTGACCTGAGGATTAGAGACACAGCATTTTAATTTTTATTAATTTCTGTGATATTGTCACAGGTCTGACTTGTGATTTCTGAGTGTAAACTGGCACGGCAAACTCCAGAGAGACAGAGGCTGGTCATGCAGCCTATATTAGATCCCATGTATTTTTTGCCCTGAATTTGCTCTTGCCCAGTCCTACTGCAGTCCTTCCACAGGAATTGGTGCCACATCAGTACAGGTGGATGCTTCGCAGTGCACAAATGCACTTTACAACCTGGCACATATATCAGGAATCAGAACTGACTGTAAGCTAAAGATGCAGTGATGAAAGTCACATCAGGCCCTTTCCACTGAGCCACTGCCCTGCTCTTCATGTCTACCCAACACAAATAGAATCATAGAGCTGTTTGATTTGGAAGGAACCCTTAAAGGTCATCCTGTCTATCCCCCTTCTCTAACTGACTGACCATTCTAGTACAGCATTGCACATTTTCTTATCTGTTGCTGTAAGACTCTGAAAATTAATTAAGTGAATAAATACATGCACAGATACATACATACATAAAGGTGAACAAAAGACAGAAGAGAGGTGGAAGCAGGAACGTGCTTGAAAATCTCATGTCCTAGTGAGGGGATTGCTTCATTACGAGCTTTTCCAGATATACTGTGGAAAGATATGTGTTTATTTGGGGCTGATTTGGTCTGAAGTGTGTTTCCATGGTGCTTGTGGGAGTGGGAATACGTAATTTGACAGCTTTCTCTGAAAGAATTGTCTGGCCACCAGGCAGTCCTGGAATAACCCCGATGCTTGAAGGAATGCTGAGAGCATGTTACATCTGGATTGCACCAGAGCATGGGGTAGTCATAGTCAGCCTCAGTCCCCTGCTTCCTATACAGTGAGTACTATCTACCCACTGCTGAGGGTCTCTGAAGCAAGCGCAGAGAGAACAACAACTTTAAAAAAAAAAAAGAAAAAAGAAAAAAAGAAGACGATGTTGATCAGCAACAGGAGTTTGAATTGAATTGAGCTGGAGAAAGGATTTCATTATTCAGGCTAATCTCAGGATCAGCTTCAGATGAGCCATTACTGAATAACCTCTTTAAAGTTCTAGGTGAAGCAGCAAGCGGCAAGTTAATGAAGACTGCAGATGGCACTAAACTGGGTAGCATCCTGAGAGCCACAGATGATAGAAGTAATACAGGGGATTGGGAGAGATTAGAACTGGGGATAGAAATTAAGAAAATGAGATTCTTACATGAAAAACTGCAGGCTTGTATTCTTGGTAGAAAGTACCATGCCAAATAGAGGACAGGACTCTCAAATGCAGTGGTGCAGTACACAGCTAAGAAAGACTTAAAGATAATAATGGTGGACCCTTTGTTAATAGTTTGCATCTGGCCTCTATAAAAAGCCAAAGCAAAAACAAACAACATTTGCCCAAATGATATGCCTAAACTGGGAGGACAGAAGGCTTACTTTCTGTGCAATTCTTTGTCTCAGAAGAGGATCTCATATCTCTAACATGAAATATATGGGAAGAGAATTTTTTTGCTTTCTTCTTGGGAAATCAATAACTGATTTGCCTGAGGTGAGTGGGAATATGTGTCCTCAGAAGAGGTGGGTCTGTGGTCTGTTGTAAGCTACATTTCAATTGCCCTGAGGAACAGACCTCAGAAACTGGTAATAAAGTGGTGAAGAAGTAGCAGCAGATTTATATATTCACCAAAGACTGACAACATTTAAAAATTGCTGATTTTTTTTTTTAGAAGGGCCACCCCTAGTTTTACCCAGAGATTGCCTTCTCCTACCATGCCCCATGAGAGTATGGAAGGATGGTCAGAAAGAGGTCAAAAGTGAGAAGATCTGGCAGATAGATTCAAATGACTGTTGCTGTGCAATGAAGAGAGAGAGAGAGGTATTCTTTTACCTTATCCTACACTGTTTTACAAGCTGATATCCTTGTTTTTTGTGTTTCAGAGGAGAAATGCCGTAGCTTTATTGAGCTTTCTCCACCAGCAGAGAGAGGTAAGAGCAAATCCCCATATCTCACCGTAGCTATCCAGTGCACCTCCTTGGGACAAGGGACCTGCAACATTTCTCCTGCGTGAGGACAGTGAGGTGGGTCCCCAAATACTCAGGCCTCGTGGATGCTAAAAATAGAAAGATTTCCTCCCAGATGTTTGCCCAAACTCCTGTCATCTGTGAGGTCAGCAACAGAAACCCCAGGCCTCCTCCCACATGAAGTGGGGTTCGTCTTTTTTAGTAAGTCATCAAGTTCAAGCTTGTCATCTCATGTAGTCAACAGGGAGGGGACGGACATCACCCAAGGGCATTCCTTCCCTTGCGCTGGATGTTCACTCAGTGCTGCAGTCTTGAGTTCTGATGGATGCCTCTGGGAGCCCAGTCACTTCCTTGTACTAAGCAATCAGGACATCCAAAAGGCACACTTTGAATGAAGTCCTGCCTCATCAAATATCAAATCTGGGCTGGAGAGCTGACTGTTCCTGTCACACGATTCAAATTATCCTGGGGATAATGTCAGTAAACCTGGATGGGCTGGAACACACACTGGGCAACTACAGCAGCCAGAAGGGAAATGAGTGTTTTAGTGGAGCACACCTTCTTTCTCTGTCTTGCTTCTCTGTCCCGTGGCTTATAGATGCAGGGTTCAGTGCCAGCGTTGCACTGTGCACATTAACTTCTCACGTTTATTCTTTTTGGAAAGAGCATTTACACAAATCAAATGATGCTGATGTTACAAGACCATTTTGAAATCACATGGATCTCCATTTTGTCATAAGCGAATGACTTCCCCGCAAAAGGAATTGCTCTTACATTTACCACAATATGCTCCTTTCACAGGAAGCAGTAATTCCTTTTTTTGCTTCCTCACCTTCTTGTGCTCCATTCCCAGTCAGGGCTTCTGGTTCTATTGGTTCCAATGTCTTTCCCAAGCCTGAGAAAATAGACTCATGCAACCAGAATACATCTTTGTAAATATGTCTATCCCTCCTCACACTCCTCCTACAGCTTCTTAGTTAATTTCAACCCAAATCTGAAAGAAAGCCTCTGTTCTGTAAGACGCTGAGGTCTTACAGATTAATGGAGTATCAGTATGAGCATGGCACTCACAGTATCATCACCTGCTACAGCTCCATCACCTGCTTTCACCCCTTCCTGCACACAGTACCACTGTAAGATGATGTAGGCCTCCAGAGCAGCCACCAGCATGTGCAGTGAGACCAGTCTGCTTTCACAGGAAAAGCAGTCCAGAGGCTTCTGAGCACTGCTGGTGCCTGTGGCCTCCAGGACACTCTTGGCAGTCTGACCTCTAAAGAATCAGTCCGTGATCTTGCTGCAGCAAGCAAACCAGCTCCTCTGTGCAGGGAATGCAACTCATTAATTCCTGCTAAAGAGCTGGGTGACTCAATGGGAATAATGATGTTTGAGGAGAAGAGAGGAGCTGAGTTAAGTGCCACAGTAATGAAGGTTTCCTTCGCATTCCTTTTCCCCAGTGGAATGACTCCTCAAGGGCCATTAGCAATCGCTAACAGTAGTGCTCCCAGTGCTGCTTCATTTGTCAGATTAATATTTCTTCTTTAGTGAATCGTGTGCTCTTCCAGAGCCCAGCATTACCGAATGTCTTTTCTCATTCTCCTCTATCCCTGCCACACAATGAGCTGGGCTGAGAGCTGTGGTATGACTCAAGTCCCACTGATAAACCCTGCATGAATGTGCCCGCTCTCCATGCAAGCAGCAGAGTGAGTGGTGAATGTAACTGCTCAAGCAAGATATCCCCCATGGCTTTACCTTGCTGCTTATGAATATCACTGGCTTATATAAGGCAGCTGTTTTAGGTCCTCTCAGCTTTTGCAAGATCAGCCAAGCCATCTTTCATGACACTCTGTGCCTCTCAGCATCCTTGCTGATAGGCTGGGGGCTGGTTATTTTCCCCACCTCTCTTCTCTCCAACAGACTTCCTTTCAGGATTAGGTTGGGAAGAAGGAGTATTCTCCCTTGAAGAAGCCATTTGGTACTGATGTGAGGGGTTTCTGATTCCTGGCAGGAATCCTGTGGCTGTCACTGGGGTCAGAGATGCTGTACATCAGCCTCTTGCTCATCAGCTTCATCCTCCTGATGGTGGAAATGCTGCACACTGGCAATCCTGTCTGCGGACTGAAGCTCAATGCCTTTGCTGCTGTCTCCTCAGTGCTGTCAGGTAAGTGTGTTACTGTGGAACCTGGCAGCAAGACAGGCACATGTGGGCAGAAATAAAAATACACTGACAGCCTTTCTCATTCACTCACCTCTGTTGATGAGATTCAGAGTGAAAGGAGCAGTAAAAAGCCCCTAAAAAGAAACACAGTTAATGGGAATTGCAAGGAGACCGTGGTATAGAAGCAACCCTGGAGAGGTGGTAGAGCAGCTGCTGGCCTTGCACAGCAATAGGAAAGCCTCCTCTCCCACACAAGGCTGAAGCATGCAGCTCTGGCTCCTGCTATATCTTCCTCGGTGGTTTTTTTTTTTGTCTTCTTTACCAGGTCTCCTTGGGATGGTGGCACACATGATGTACAGCCAAGTCTTCCAAGCCACAGTTAATCTGGGACCAGAGGACTGGAGGCCGCACACATGGGACTACGGCTGGGCTTTCTAGTATGTGAGCTTTGCAGCTACCCTCACTTCCCTGGGCTGTGGGTCTTCAGACATGCTACACCTTGTCCAAACCCTCCTCCCTTCTTGACCCTTTGTGTTTCCAAAGACATGGTTCTCCTAGTGTTCAATCTCCTGATCCCCTGCTTTAACAAATAGTTGCCAAGTTACTTAAGTGAGTAGGTACCAAGAACTGGTAAAGCAATGGAGACACACCTAAACAAGTGCCTTCTCACCTGCTGACTAATCAGACTTGCCTCTATGCTTATTTGCCCTATTTAGTCTCAGTTCTTCCCTGTGTGCAGAGGCCACTGCCACACCTGTGATGTTGCTCTCAAAACGCCTTGCTTTTCTGCAGTTTAAATAAAATTGCATGTTGGTTTGACATCTTCACTGAGCAAAGTCCAAAAGGTCTGTAACTGTAGCATCAAGACTAGACATGTGGCTCAGGATTTCTTTCTCCAAAGGCTGCAGAAGCTAACCCCAGCTGATACAAAATAGATGACTTGAAAAACATTTTGGTGAAGTTATTTATTAGTCTGACATCTCTCGTCTTTCTGTAGCTTGTGTTCATGTTCAGCAGCTTCTACCTGCCAAACCAGTGCACCACGGTGCATACAGTTCAATTCTTTGCCTGGCTTTTCATGGCATGTGTTGTTCTTGTTTTTCTCCTGCAGCATGGCCTGGACCTCCTTCACCTGTTGCATGGCTTCTGCTGTCACCACTCTCAACACCTACACCAAGACAGTGCTGGAGTTCAAGCGCAACCACATCAAGGGCTATGATATGAGCTTCAAGGATCAGCCTCAGCACCACCAGTACTTCTTACAGCAGCAAATAAGCAGCTACTATGAGTCTCGAGACAAGCCTCTCCATTCAGTGTCCGAGGGAGTTGATTTCTACACTGAGCTGCAGAAGAAAGTGCTGCAGCGGGAACCAGAGCTGGACCTGGATGAGGTCTTGGGACAGACAATTGGAGAAGATCAGTGTTAGGGATGAATGCACAGGAGCTGAACATTTGGGTTTGGGATGCAAAAAGCTCTGAACCAAACATTAACACTACTGCTAGCAAGTTCTTGGGGAGCTCTTCCTTTCTCTAATGTTCAGGGAGTGAGAATAAGAAAATCAGGCACTGGAACAAGGCAACAGCAGTGCCAAGAGGAGGCAAGGCAGGTCCTCTCTGATCACAACCTGAAGGGTGTCTTCAGCTGGGAACGATGAAACTGGGGGTAAACATCATTGGTGCCATCTGTATCCAAGCACTGTTAGACAGAACTGAGGCAGGTACCCTAATCCCAACAGCACTGCACTAAGGAAAAGACAGACTCAGCCCAACCCAGCTGGCAAATTGCATTGCTGGGCCTCTTTGGGTGGAGTCATATTATTGCCATTCCAGCAATCTCTTTAGTTCAGCGCTAAGGGCATAGGTGCTCATACTGAGTTGCTGTAGTCCTCCCTGAAGACCGTATTTATTCTTCATTTGTAGGCCCAGTCTCCTGTCCCACCCACAGATTAAAAGTGCTGCTGGAGTAGAAATGGGAGGTTGCTTTCAAATATCTCCTCCCCTCTCTCTTGTCTGTAAAGGCTCCTATATGCACCCTCCTTGCTTTGCCCCCTCCAGCTCCCATTCTGAGATACTTTCCGGTCTGACTCTTATAATTGTGCTCCTCCACATCCTTTAAGAATCCTAGGCTGAACTCCTGCTTTTTTGTTTCTCTTCATTTGTCCCTTTTCCCTTAGTGTAAAAATACCACCAACAATCCCCAAATCAAGCAAACTCGTCATCCCTCAAAGGTGAAATGGTGGTTCACATGACACACACTGATGCTGTACACAGTATTTATTTGCTCCACTGCAGTTCACAGTTCAAATACATTTTCTCAACAATATACAGACAGACTCTTTATTCACACTGGGGGCGTGTGTGTGCGGGTGGAATGAATTCACATTATGGAGGAGCTAATGTCACTGCACTCAAATATTAGTTCTCCCAGGAAGAACCTCAGGAGAATAACTACTTCAGGTAATAAATGCCTCACCTTTCCCAGCAAGGTGGTGGCTACAGGAGGAAAGGTGCACTCCTGTTTAATCTTCTTATACTACTGGTCCTCACACTTTCAGTTCCTATTATACAGCTGTATTAACTAACATAATATTATAAATACTAACGCGTCTGGAGGAAAATCCCAGGGCCTAGAGTTGTTGCTAATATATAGAGTCGTGCTAATATATACAAAGCTATTTACACAAAAATACCATTAAACATATACAAACTGTTCTCAGCTCTGATATTAGGAGAGAAGGGTCCAAAGGCCAGCTTTGGGGCTTGCAGCTAATCCTGAAGAGCTACACTGAAAGCTGTCCTGGAAGCTTTATATGGAGATGCAAGGAGGAAGAAGAAAGGGTGATGTAGCAAGACGAGGTGTCAAGAGCCCAGGGGAGCAAACCCATGTGTCCATCCTTGATGTAAGCATCAAAATGCTGCCATCACCTTGCTACTCGGAGGGAAATGCAGCAAAACAGGAAGAGCACATGTTAGCAGGAGGACCAAAGAGACATCTGCAATTCTCACCTCAGCCTGGCTCTGCATAATGCCGAAGATCAGATCTGGGAAAACAAGTAACATGTTGCTGCCCTGCATTGTGAGGAGTTGCTAGGGCAGAAAAGTTGTTGGTTTATATGTAGTTACTTTATTGCAGGCAACTTCATGCTCTGCAACTACAACACAGGAGTCTGACAGCACGCTCACAGGCATGATTCAAGGAACTAAATGCACCAAGAGCAAATAAATTTGCCTTGGGGGCAGCCTATTCCTCCTGGAACTGCTGGGCTGGCAGGCCAACGGTCAAAACCAGAACAGGGTCACATGCACAGAAAAGCTTCCATCTCTACCTCTTGTTTGAGCCCCTAAACCCTGAAGCAGTTGTGTGAGAATAAGCTTTTCTGTAAGTGTATCTATAGTCCAGCGATCTTTACAGTGCCACTAGGGACCTGCTGACAGCCTCTCCCAAAGGGGCTGCAATGCTTTTCAAAGGGGAACTCAGTCCAACGAACTGCAACATGGTGCAACAATGACACTTCAGGTTTATACAGAGCTTAAGGATGGATGAATAAGAGGTAGAAATGAAATGTGAAGCTTTTGCTTCTTGGATCTGGGAAAAGAAACACGCAAGTGCAAATGCTGAAAAATGTTCTTGCAGCCATCTTTCTATCAGGTAATTCAGCAAGAGAGCCAGTTTGTTTGTGAGTTTGGCAACAGGATGGTGAAAAGGGCTGAGAGAATAAGAAAGGCTGTAGACAAGACTTGCCCTGCAGAAGCCAGACAGAGGCTACTTTCCAAAAATATGAATAATAAAGCAGATGGTGTTCTTTACCCACATAATTTGCCTGTAGTTATCATAGACCACCATAGGCTTTGAGCTTGTTTGTCTGCCTGGAATACTGTTTGGACATAAAAAGGAGTGTCCTAAATCTGTTCATAAATTAAACATATAAAAAATATACATATACTCTATAAATTGATACATATATATAACTCGTGTGTGTGTGTGCGTGTGCACGCAAGCTCTAAATTCACATTTCCATGTTACCTGGAAGGAAGCATGCAAGAACAGCATATGGATGGGGAGATGCTGAACAAGGTTCATCTGATACAGGACAGATCTGCCAAGGACAAACCCGCTTCCAGCAATATTCCCCAGATAGCTGAAGAAAGGGGAAGTGCCTTTAGTTCCCACTCCCTCTACACAGCAGTTTTCCTGAAGGTCCCCTGAGCAGCTTCCTCTATTCCCCATGCAGGTCACAGGTCCTGTCAAAATCTCAGGCTAGAGCTGGAAAAGGAAAGGGAAACGAAAAACAAAGCCAGAATCCATTATCATTCAGTCCAGTACAGAAAAGTGTTAATTTACTGATCAGCAACACTAGGCACCATTAGGTAGAGGGTGCATGGGGGACCCCTGTTTGGCCATGTTAGAACAAGTGACCACTGCCCTACCTCTCAGTTCTATCTGTGAGTCCCTCAGTCCTTTATGATTGTCACCCCTGATTCTTTCTAAGATCCTCCTTCTTGTCAAACTGCTAAAGTATAGCTGGGCCTTACACTGTGTCCAGTCTCCACCTAAAGAGACAGCCTGTCATCTTGCAGTCAATTTGAATCCCACCTCATAGAAAGCACCTAACTGTGTCAGTATGGAAGCAATCATATATCCTGAACAATCTGCACTGATCACAGATTCCTGCACAATCTCACCTTGTGAGGAAAGTCAACAAATTTCAGCCGAGCAAGAAATCGCCTCACTTCTCCACGGCTGATTTTGGGAGTGGTGGTGTCCTTTAGCCACACCATTCGACCCTGTGTCATCATGGCCCATTTCAAGCCCAACTTGCTGACTGAGAGAAATCCTGGCTGTTTTTCAGAGGTTGCAGTTGTTGTCACAGTGATGTGAAATGCATCCTTTTGGAGATCATTAATTCCGACTGATTCATCAGAAAAGAGAGAGAAAATATTGGTGAGGAATAATAACTATGCTTCACCCAAAAGAAATCTTACAGTCTTCACTCATTCCAAACAGTCACTGGACTGAGGATGTATTCAATTTGATTTTTCAATAGCATGAGCCTTAGTTCATTGGGGAAAACAATTTTAAATAAAAATCTTTCCATAGAAATACACTGAAAAGTAGATCAACAATGTCAATTTTTGGTTCCAAGGTGCCTTTTTTTGTGTTTGACATACAAAATGTACATATTTAATTAATGTAGTTCACTTGAATAGAACATTCCTTTCCACTCCTGCTGGCATAAATTATTACCTCTACAGAAGGGTAAATTGTTAAAGTAGGAGCAAATCAGTTTACTCCGGTTAGCATGGAATGATCTGTACAGACTTCAGAAATCCCAGCTTCTAATAAATCTCTCTAAGAACAATATTCTATTTGTTCTTGATTGAGCTGTTTTTTGATACAAATCTGATTAGATGTATCACTACACAGCAGCTTCTCCCTGCTTCCTGACCTACTGGATTCAGTGCTATATGCACTGACCTTTTATCCTGCATCTTGCCATGCTCAACAAGTTGGATGTCGGTTGAACTGCTTTACAAAAAGAAAGGAAATCCAACAGGGACTGTGAGATCTTGTAAATGTTAAATCTAGATTCACTTTCCCTTGGAAACATGCAGTGAAACATTTTGGATTCTCCCTTTCAAAAAGAAAGAGGAAAGAGCAGTACATCTGCTATCTCAAAGGGCAGGAGAGGACAGCCAGCAAAGGCAGAAGTGTATCTGAGGTGATGTGCTCCACGGAAAGCAAGGGAATGTATCTGGTATTAAACATGCATGAATTCAAACTCAGACTTTTCCATGTTTAAACGTTCAAGAATCTTGGTGGGCCTTTCATTTGTAAAGTAGGGGTTGGATAGGACCTTTCTTCAGGTGGAAGAGCAATCTGATTTCCCATTGCTGGTCTGTGTGAGTGGTGGATCTCAAATACTACCTATTAGTACATGTGGTATACCACAAGTATACCACTTTGTTTTTTACAGCTACGTCTTCATTCCTCCATTTTTTTTAGGCTAGGTAGTCTCTCCACCATTTGAACTCACCTGCTGAAGCAATGACTTTGTCTGTTGCATTGGTGAGGTCCAAAAGGACTGTAGGGAAAACAGGATGGAGAAGATAAAGGTGGTGCAGCGCCGGGCGCTCAGATCTGGGACCAGGATGCTGATGGAATGAAAAGAGAACAAAAATGTTACAGATGACTACCAAAAGACAGTCTAGCTTTGCCAAAGGAAAAAAAAAAAATGTTTACCGACATTGTGCTACCTTTGCTTAGTACTGAGAACCAAAAACTCAATGGTTCCACAGAGCTGAAAGAGTGCAAAACATTTTTTCTCAAACAAAATTTGCTCCCCAGCCTCTGTTTGGTAAAGTTGAGATTTTGCTCTATGAAAGCTGGCTTGATTGGCCAAGCTACAGTCTGGAAGTTTGGAACTCCGTGCTGACTTGTATGTTGGTATGCTGAAAAGAATCTCTCAGGGTCTGGGAACAAAGTTGCAGGCAGAAAATCTCAGTGCTGCAGAAAAAATGAATTATTCTCATAACACAGAAAATTTTGGTTTCATGGAAGGGAGCTCTCAGTCTATGAAGTTTTTTGATGGAAAAATCATCACATATCATCAAAATCACATATGCTACTGTGTACAGACTTGAAGAAGTCCATCCAAGTCAAAGCAAGAGGGAAAGATGTCCCTAGCAATCTCAAATAGCAGGTTTAGAGTTCAATTACATTAGGAATAAAAGACAGATTACATGTACCTCACAGAAAACTCAAAGTGAAGAAAGGGTAGCTGCTCACCAAACTCTGTAGCACAGGCTGTGCTTCATCAGCCCAGAAGAGAAAAACAGACTTCTTGTCCAAAGTCATGATTGACAGAGCATCAAGTTGCTGTTTCTGCCATGGGAGTTCCTGCTTCCAAACAGGGAGGCCAGATTTGCCATCTACCACCACCACCTCAGGATACAGAAAGAGATGTAGCATTAACGAGTGTTCAGGTGCAGGCGTAAAGAGAGTGCTATTTTCTGTCAGGCCTGTGGCCACATAGAGACCAGTGTCAGCCACAGAAATAGGAATTGCCGAAAGTAGAGAATCACTGCCCCTTTCAACCCAGGCTCCTTCACTTTTAAGTTGCCAATGCCCTCTCTGCTGCCTCTTGTTTTACCTTTTTCTTCCCATTTCCGGTCTGTGCTTGCAGCATGAAGTCCAGGGTTTGATCAGCACTGAAGTACCCCAGTATTGGCTGGCTGCAAATTTGAACAAAAAAACACTCAGCTTTATGACAGAAAAAGAGGAATTGCTTTCATCCTCTATTCTGCCTCTTAGCAAGGCAGCAATTGCCAAAATATTTCATCCACTGAGAGTTATTCTTATTGGCAGAAACCATTTTTTGGTGGATAAGAAAAGTGAAAAATGATCAAACTGCCCATAGCACTTACTGGCCATTCTTCAGAGTTGACTGGGGGGAGGGGGAGATGGTGCAATCCCTGCTGGGCTGTGTAGGTATTTGTTTATCACCCTATGGCATGGCTGTATTATTCTTTCCCTAGAATGAGAACCTGTTCAGTTTTGCTACAGTCATAAAAAATTACTCAAACCTTTCAAAATTCATCAAGAGATTTGACCTCCTGCTCAAAGCAGTTTTAAAAAAAGTTCCTTTTTATCCTCTCCCTTCTGGGCAACTTAACACTATTACTTGAATATCTGTTATTATAACTGCTTTCTAACCATCCTACTTGCTTTTGGCTTTCTGAATCTAACCTCTGTCCTTCCTAAATTCAGCACAGCTGGGCCTAAGAAGCATACATGATTTCTTTGAATTCATATTTTCATAGAGCAAGGCTAGATGACCAGAGCATGTCCTTCCTCCTTTTATTTATGATACGCTGTTGTATTTTATCCAGTTAACCAAGCACTAGAGTTTGGCAAGATGTGCCCAGCCATGAGACTTGCTATGGAAATACAAAGACAAGATAAACTCATCACTTCTTGTGACAGTCAGTTCTAATGATTAATCTCATCCTCAGAAACATGGCTGCATTTTCATTTTCTGGAACACGAGCAGCTTCTGCTCCAAAGCACTTTTCTTGCTACAGCAAGATTAAAATCCCCGTTAGCTCCTGTTACTCACATGCACACATGAACTCATCTCTCAAGCTTCATCATCTAAACACAAACTTAAATCTTCCATGCTGAAGCATTTTTCCAGCCCTTTTATCCAGGTTTTCCAGCCACTACTTTAAAATGTGCAGACCAGAATGGCTTTTTAAGAGTAATGCCACAGCACAGCAGTGGCTTACTATCTATACTTGTATCAAGGAGGCTACCAAGATGATAAAAAACCTACAGGGCAACATATATGAAGAGCAGCTGAGGTCCCCTGGTTGATTCAGTGCAGAGCAGAGGAGCTGAAGGGAGGCCTGATGGCTGCAGCTCCTCACAGGGAGTGGAGGGGCAGCGCTGAGCTCTGCTCTGTGTGACAGCCACAGGGCCCAGGGAACCGCATGGAGCTGCGTCAGGGGAGGGCAGCTGGGGGTGAGGGACAGGGTCTGCACCAGAGGGCGGTGGGCATGGAATGGGCTGCCCCATGTAGTGATCATGGCCCCGTGGTACTCAAGAAGCATCTGGATAACAATCTCAGACATATGGTCTGATTTTTGGGTGGTGCTCTGTGGAGCCAGGAGTTGCACTTGATGATCCTTGAGTATCCCTTTCAACTCTGAATGTTCTACAATTCCATTATTTTATTATTAACATAGTACACTTTGGCAGTCACAGCTAATAATTTAGAGGCAGTCTCATGACACGTTCCTATAACTTAAAAAATCTCCTGTACCAAAAAGAAGCAGTAGGCTATTCTGTTCTGAGGGCATTCACTTAAACTCTCTCCTGATGTGGCACTTCTCATACTTCTGGCAGGCTACAGTCAGTGGCAGATTCCACACATCGAATGCAGGCAGGCATATGTATTTTAGATGCTACCAATCAACTGAAAAATCCCTTGGGCACTTTCTTGTATGAACCAGAAGGCTAGTAATTATTCCTGCCTAACACTAATCCCCACAGCAACCAGCAATTAATCCTCTCTTATCTGAAACATCCATTTACAATGTAATTTTCAAATGCTTACACAATTTCATAGTCTCTGAACTTCACTCTTGTTTTATAGCTGGTTGTCCATTATGGTCTTCCAGGGATCTTGTCAAAATCTATCCAGAAATGCAGCACACTTGCAGAAGCCAGGCTGTTATCTGAGAATGCACCCAAAGGCATGGACTTGGTCTGCTTGGCTAGAGCAAGACAGAGGCTGGAGCAGGGTTACTGAGGGAAAGGGGAGCTCTCAACTGGCTCAGTATACTCTGTCTGATGGTGACCTGGGTTTAAGCTTGTTTGTCTGGTGACACCTCAGAACTTGGACTAGAGGATTTCCAAAGATGCCTTCCAATCCCAACTATTCTGTGATTCAGTGAACAGAACGACAAAAGCGTCTTTCAACACTTCTTGATTTGAATCCCTACAAATTTTCCAATTAGTTTTTTCATTTAGAAGTTTTTTGCATATTATTGATTTTATAGCATCATTGAACTGACTCTGTTTAGTCAGCATACACTTACCCTTCAAACTTGACCCATATCCAGAAGCCTGAAGACTCTGGAACAAAAACTCTTTTAGCTCACTACCTTTCCCAAACTGAGATCAACTTGCCACAACCCATTCCTAAAGCCACTGCTTCTGTCACCCACCAGCATTCAAGACTGGGCATAGCATAAGAGTATCAAGTCTAGATGACCTTATTTTCTTAAGATTCTACGCCTTCCTCCTATGGAAGCTGTTGGCAGGTAACAATGAGCTGAAAGCTTCTTTCTTTCCTCTAGATAGCAGAGCTAGCAATCTGTTTCCCACATAATTTCCTTCAACTGTGCCCAGCTGCCCTTTGCAAACATTTAGCACTCAGAAAACTGAAATTGCCAGTTATTATCAAACCATTAGGTCTAGCAAATTGCTTAACTTTTATGTGTGAAGTCAGAGGATGAGAAATATTATTTTAAGGTTTACATTTAGTATAGATGGCAGACTGCCATCAGAGTGCTGATTTTCAGCTTTCAAGGAAGATTAAGATCCACTCGGCATATTCAGACACCTCTAACACTTAGCACCACTAATGCACCTGCTCCTCTCCACTGAGCTGGCAACTGGCAGCTGTGGACAGCAGACGGGCTGAATCACACACCAGAAGTTCCCTAAGCTCCAGTGCCACAGTAGTCAAGACATTTATGTTGGATATCTGTATCAAGCCCTTTGTTTATTAGAACAAAGAAGGGGACAGACTTTTAGCAGGGTCTGTCGCAATGGGACAAGAGGAAACGGTTTCAAACTGAAAAAGGGGAGATTTAGATTGGATACGAAGAAAAAAAGGGTTTTTTTTTTTTACAATAAGGATAGTGAAGCACTGGCACAGGCTGCCCAGAGAAGTGGTGGATGCTCCATCCCTGGAGACATCCAAGGTCAGGCTGGAGGGGCTCTGACTATCTTGATCTATCTGTAAGTGTCTCTGTTCATTGCAGGGAAGTTGGATTAATGACTTTTAAAGGTCTCTTCCAACTCAAACAATTCCATGATTCTACAATTTGTCATCACTCACACATTTTAAAGGTTTAAAGGTTTTGAGCCCTCTGCTCTTTGTTCCACTTGCCCTCCTTGTTTGTGCATCAATGTACACATATGCCTCCAGCTCATAGGTTTCTTTGCAAACATGGATAATTCTTCTTGATTGCTTTCTAAGGAACACATGCACTTAAAGGTGAAAAGTAGGAAATAGAAATAAAAAAGAAAGGAAAATGTTCCCAGTAGATAACCTGCTGATGTTCTGAATTTCCAATGTCCAGTGGGGCTCCAGGTCCTGTCCCTGCAGTAGAATCAAGCCATCTTTGGTGGTGATGAGCAGATTGCTGCAGTTTGTGTCAGGTGCCTTTATCGTCTGCAGGAAGTCAACACCCCCACTGGGAGAAATGGATAGCAGAGAGAAGATTCCTAGGCTTGTATTTAAGCATCTCAGCATTACCTGCCTGTCCACCCAACAACCTAAGATTTGAACTATTCTTGGACAGGTTCATCTTTTCTTCAGTGACTGAGGTTAATTTCACATTGTTATTTCTTAGTTAACAGACCTAAGTTCAGATCTATGCTCTTCTGAACGTCTTGAATTACTATAAAAAGCATGGGATGCAGGGTTTCATATTTGTTCCCTTTTATTCCTATCAAGACTGATTCTGACCACAGTTTGGCAGTACTGATTACAGTACTCCATAGTATTGTCAACAACCAGAAATGGAAAGGAAAGAACTGTGTCTAGGAGTGCAAGAAGGTATACATTTTTCCTTCCCCTTCCAGCAGAACCAAGATGATAAGTTTGTCTCCTACCTGTAAATGTCAATGAGCTCTGACAGGTTTACAGATCTGCGCTTTTCCCACTCTGGCTCCTCCTGATGCAACATCATAGGAAAGCTGTCCCGGTTTCTGGCTTGGGTAAAGATATCCCTCAGGGCAACTGCTTGAACATTACCTGCCAGAAAGAGTAAAGATGAAGAGTCTTGACTGCAAAGGTTAATTTCATAGTAACACAGAGACTTCTGTTGTTATGGCCAAACGCAAAGGAAAGCCAGAGTTGCACCTTCCTTGGCATGATGCACCACTGGCAGACTTGTCTTTGAGAAACTTAAAGGTACTCCAGGCTAGCAGACATTGATACTCTTCCACTGCATAGCAGTAAGACTCCTTCCCATACCCTCTGCTCCCAGATTTTACAGTGCAAGACATAGTAGAGACATCCCAGGAATACTCTAGGCCAATTTAGGTAAAAGTAATGTTCTTTTTCAGAAAGGTGAAGTACTTGTGAGTCAAGGTGCATCTTACCAAAACCAAACAGGATGTAGATGGCTCCCCGGCTGGTGATATGAACTTGAGGGCCAATTACTTTCCCTTCTCCAATGACGTTGTACTTCACAGGCCCGCCCAAAGCAACCCCAGTCTTTCCTGACACCAAGACGAAAAACACATCAGGCTGCAAAGACAGAGATGTAGAGATTTCTGGCAGTGCTTTCATACGTTTGTGCTCTCAGAATCTTGCCTGGTACCCACAGCATGAAGCTCTGTTGCTCTTTCTCCCCACAGCAAGGTCTAGCTAGTGGTCTCTCTGCTCAGCTTGGCTTCCTGGGATTCTTATATTCACACTTTTCTCTTGTCTGCAAAGGCATCAAAGATGGAAGGGACTTCAAAAAACTGAACTCCTCTAAGAATAGTAATGCTAGAATTCTGGGGAGAGATGAGCATGGAGGAAATCTGCACTTGATCACACAACTACTTATTACCTAAGGTCAGCTGAGTGCTCATTTTTCCAGTGATTTATCTCAACATGGTTTTCTATACAGCTGCTAAACAGTCACTTCTAATCAGGCATTCACTGAGCAGAAACAATTCTCAAGTCTCAGCCAGGGATAAATAATAAACCTTTTGTTCATTCCCAGCTGATAAGAAATGCAGGTAGTGCCATTATTGCTTGATCTCACTGTTCTGACCCACTGAAAGAAACAAGGTGCTTTTCAAGCAAACATAAAGGAACAAAAATTAGGGACTCCTGCATCTGCTGTTATAACCTTTCTACATCGAGGTCCTCAATCTTCCTCTAGATAGTCAAGGTCCTTTCTAATCTTGAGCACAGACATGCTGTACCTGTGTTTCTTTGAGGGCCAGAACAACAATATCCCTAATCCCATCTCCATCTACATCTGGAAGAGTTGCAGCTGGTGCAGCCAAGATCCCATCTGAAAGGTGAATGGAGTTCAGTGTCCAGATGGTCTTGCCTATGGAAAGAACAGGATGAAAGAGACCTTGGGGAACCAGAGGACATTCCCAGACAGTTCTACAAAACCTTCTTGAAGGAGGGAGCAAAAGAGCTTGTTTTCCTTATTCCCTGAGAAAACAAAAAACAAGCATACAGGTCAAGCTTCAGTGGGAAGCAAAGCACATTTCTTTAGACTGGCTTTGAGTTGTGTCTTTGTTCTGCTGTAATTCCTCCTCTGCATCTCTTTAAACAGACCTGAGCTCAAAAATCTTTCTGAAATAGCAGGGCATATTTGAGGTTCGTTTTTGGAAGGAGAACCTAAATAGGAATGCTGCTCTGCAGGACAGCAGTTGCTTTCCACAGTCAGCAGTACAGACTGTAGGTGGATGCCAGGAGAGAGAACAGATGGCCAGTTCTAATATTCAAAGTGCAAATCTGTGTCTCCATTAAATTCCCAGCAGTAAATAGCCACTCCAGTATAGCATGCTCACTCCTCCTCAGGGTAAATGCATGTTAGCAGACATGATGTCAAACTGTTCAGCAGTCCGGTGTGGACCCAGCTGGAAACTCAATAAAACCTGTTTTACAGATTAGCTGATAAACACTCAAAAAAAATCCCAACAAAAAGAAATGTGATGCTTTTATTTCTCCATAGTTCTTTCTCCAGCACAGTGATTAAAAATGCAGCACTCATTCATATCTAATCGATTTCTCTATGGGCCTAATTTCTTTGGAAAGCTGTAGCATACATCTTTACGTAACTTCTCTGAGACTGGTGTTCAGCTTCTCAGTGCCATTAGCGAGGTGCAGAGCTGTAGTAACAGCTACATGTTGATGAAAATGGATCTTGTATATCTTTTGTGCCATGGAGATGTTATAGGACAAGATAAACATTTTGAATAGTTCTGAAATGGTAGGACAGAGATACTCCCAGAGAGCATCAAAAGTTTGAATGCTCTTTTACCTTTTATAACTTGAAAAACATTAGTGTTCTGACCCTTCCCTGTGTGTCACTAATAACAGCCACTACAAAGAGCCAGCACTGAATCATTCATACTTATTAGCCCTTCAAAAAAAATGAAAATGCAGCAGCAGCATCTTTCTAACAAGCTAGTACTTGACTCTACCTGTGGAGGCACTAAGAAGGCTGAGGAATTTAGCTGTTCCTGTCACAAGGCAAACGGGCTCTGCTGGTGACCCCAGTGACAGCCCTTTGCACTGCACACTCCGAGTCTCTTCTGGAAGCTGGATGGACCATAAGGTGCTGCCATTCATACCAGAAAGGGCCACCACAGTCACAGAGGGCGTAGAGACACCTGGAAGAGACAGGAGGAAGAGAGTAAAATTCCTTGCCATCAAAGGCTATGTCCACACTGTCTTTGGTACTTGTGCTTGAATTCCAGCTCTAGCTCCTGGAGCTGAGCGGCTCAAGCCAGCTCTATCCACACTGCCTTAAAAGCAAAGGTCAAATCCCACTCTTTGTTTTAGTCTTTCTGCCAGCAGAACCTACTGGTGACCTTCAGACAAGTTAGGCTATGAGCCAACAGCACAATCAAAGTTGGTGTCTGGACATGAGCTAACTTCAAGAAACGTGATCAGGTGGGCACAGAGGAACCAAGCTCCTTCTGGGGACAACCTGCTTAGTTATGCTGAATCATTCTGTTGTTAAACCAGACTGATCTTTCTCATGTCCTTTTCCTCAGGCCAATGGACACCACTGAGGAGATGCCTTAGGTAATTCCCAAGGCAGCTGCTGCCTCATGTGGAAGGCTTGGGCTGTCTGGGCAGCAGCAGGTGATTGGCAATCTGAGAGTTTTTTCTGTTGTATTTTAAATCAGTTTTTGTCACGGTTGTTGTGAGAAATAGATTGAATGCAACAAATTGGTGTAACTCAGGGTCTTTTTCTAATTCACCAGTTAGCACAAAATAATAGTGAGAAAAGGTGCCCCATGCTGTTTCAACAGACTCTTGGCTCTGATTTCAAACACCAGCAACTTTTAGCTCAGCCTGCCCTTACATAGAGTTGCAATCTCTACCTCTCATATCATAAGGTTAGAATATGAACTTCCACACATTTCAAGATAACAACAGTTCCTGTTGGCTCCTGTTTAATGGCAACACTCTGCATGACTTGACTACATGGAGGTTTTGAGCCCACTCTCTAAATCAAACTTAATCACCTGTCAAACTGAAAATCAGATGGCTTATGCTAAAGAGTTGTCTTAACAGAAATTCTTTTTGTTGGGTTGGCAGTGATCAAGAACTCCTAATTCTTCAGTGCAGCTCACAGCTGTAGTGTGTACAATCCGGATAAACAGCTAACAGTGCCACAGCTTAGTCCACCAGGTTCCTACCCCAAGAGTATCTCTATCAAACACCATGTGAAGACTTTGAGCACAAGCTTTAGGAGGGTTGATGTCCAGCTACCTGGGTATAGGACTGAGATGTCCTTACACCTGCTTTCCTGTCTGCTTTATGTCTCCTAGCACAGCTTCAGCCCAGGATGCAGCTAGGTATGCCTACTTCCATTTGGAGCATGCTAAAAACTGCACATCTGTGATGAAAGAGAAATAAGTACAATGGCAAAACACAGAATACAAAGACAACCTCTACAAACTGAATACAGCTTTCACATCAACAGCCTCTCCCTCATGTACTTCTTATAAAACTTAGTCTGCACAATTTTCTCTCTGTTGATAGGTTTATTTCTATAGGACTTCTACCTCCTTGCTTTTACAATGGTGGAACAACTGAGACTTTTAGTGAAGGGCTTTGAGAAGTAGCTTTTGAGAAGTGAAAAAAAATAACCAACACCTTATTTCTATCTGCTATTTGTAGTGAAGTGCTTTCTGACCACTTTATCTCTGCCTGCAGATCAGGGACAGAGAGATGGACAAATACAGGAGAGAGAGATGGACTGATCCCAAGGTGTGGTATGGGGAAAGAGGTGACTGCAAACTAGTATTGAAGCATAAACAGCATAATAAAGTACAGACACAGAACAACAGCCACTTCAGTGAAAAAAAAAGAAAAAAACCAACCAACCAAACAACAACAACAAAAAAAAAAACAGTGGATTTACAGTGGCAGCAACTTTTTCCAACCATTGTATGAATATCCAAAGGTCTGTATTGACAAGTACAGGAAAGAGAGTAGAAAACTCACTTACCCATGACACTGGCGTTCATCAGGGCTGTGAAAACGATGAGGATGTCAGGGAGCCCATCACCATTCACATCACAAAGCTCCAGTGGGGATAACACACCACCTACAACAGTCACAGAGAACCACACGGTTGACAAAGTAGCCACGCAGCCAGCTCTCTGCACTGCGAGTAGAAGGCAGACAAAAAAAAACCTTGTGGAGTCTGCTAAGGAATTATCAATGTCAGGCAGCTCCCATCATGGCTAGATCTTTTATCACATGGAAAGGCAGAAATGTAGCATCTGGGTCAGAGAAAAGAAAGGGAAAAATAGAAGAGCTAAAAGGAAAGAAAAGATGTCTGCTTCCCACTTCACTTTCAGAGGTGATGTGGGAGTCACATATCTTATGAAAGGCTTAGATTTGGAAGCTGGGGCAGAAAGCAAGGAGGGAGAGACATATCTAGACCTGGCAGAAATTATTTCACAATACTGCAGAGGTCAGAATGGGAGATACTTTAGAAATGTTACCAGTGGCCTGTACAGGATGACAAAAGATTCCAAATGTTGATTTACAGATTCAAGCAGGGCAAGACAACAGAAACGAGGTTAGTTGAGCCAGTCAGGAGACATAAAGACCTCTATCCCTCTCTTCCCAAACTCCCACACTCTTCAGTGTGGAGGAGCTGGTGAAATCCAGGGTCTAGAGAGGGAGGCACTGTGTTTTAAAGTGGGCATTTTCATCTGAAACAGAGCACGCCTTATGGACAAAAAGGCAGGATGGGAGAAGAGTCAAAATGCTTTTTGGTGTTGACAGAAACAAGATTTTGTGATCTACTGCTGTCAGATTTCACAGGCCTCAGCTTGAAGAGTGAGCAGGACAGAGCCTCCTGTCTTTTACCTCGGAGCATCTGCAGTGGTGAGGAAGGGTCTCTGTCCTGAGCTGGCTCTCCCAGATAGGTCTCTCCCGCAGATGCCCAGCCTGGGAGCTGCCACCTCCCCCACGCCAGATGCTGTTCCTGGGGCTTTCTCACCTGCTCCCTGACCTAGGTTGTGGTTCCAGGTGTTATGCAAGTCCCTAGGGGGACAGGGAATGAGAAACGCACACACCAACACAAGAATCATCGAGATCACCACGGTGAGCAAAAAGACTGCTGTGCGCAGGTATGGCATGAGGGATGGAGCAGCCTTCTGTTCCAAGCCCCCAGCTGCCTCTGCAGGATAACCCTCGGGTGCGCATTCTGATGCGTGCTGCTTCGTCATCCCAACTTCCACATCAGAGTCGGGATCCTGCGCTTCCTCAGGGGGGCTCTTCCCATTCTTGACACCCCCATTTTTCTGTACGTTGAGTACGAGGTCATCTTCACTTTCATCACTATCGGCCTGAGTGAGAGGATCGTACTCTCCAAGATCTGGGCTTTTCTTTCCTGTGGAAAGAGATAGAGAGAGACAACAAAGCATTCACTCCTTGCTTTTTCAGGACCTAAGTGGAGAAAAGGCTGCAGTGAGCCACGAGTTCCAAGTGACAGCTGTGAGAAAAGACTCTATCGGGTTTATTTTATTATTATTATTGTATGTATATATTATAAATTGTATTGTATATATTACATGTATATGTATGTATATTTTCCTGATCTGTAGTGAGCCACACCGACACAAGGCATGCTTATCCCTCTTGAGTGCCTAAGGTGCAGCACTCTCCTGACTTGAGGCTGGACTCCTTTAGCACTTGCCAAACTCTAATCCCAACACAGTCCCTCTTCTCTTGTAGGCTGGGTCCTTCAAGGGGGCCTTCTGAAACTCACTTTTCCCTTGCTCCCCCTGCCTGGACCTCTTGGATGCTGTATTTGCTATCCTGCTTCATGAGGGATGGAAGGAAGGGTCACACAGGGATAGAGCAGCAGGCAAGTTATCAATGGATATCAACTCCTTGATGAGGGCAAAGTGAGTGATTTCACTCTTTTGGACCAGAATATATTCTGGTGTCTGAAGAGATGAGAGATGCTCTCACAACTTTCTCTGCGTGGTTCAGCACTGTAATAAGGAGCACTCATGGAGTATGAAACCAGTGCTCCCCCTCTGTTCCTCTTCCCACCCACCACAGCTGACAGCTTGTACCTGGCCTTGCTGAGAAATAACATAGCACTGATGTCTGATACAGGTGGTGGTACGAAAAAGTACCTTAGCTCTAGGTGTCTTCCCAGTTCCCACCCCTGTGACATGGATGCGTGACACACAGATGATTCTCCCTCTAGCCCAAGTCAGCCACATGGAGCATGACGAGGGATGGTGCACAGCCTGGTCTTATATCATGGCATAAGGCCAGGGCCATCTGTTTGCAGGAGTAGGAGAGATCAGGCAGTCTCACTGCCCTGAGCTACGAGGGGAGGAGCACGTCTCAGCAAGCTGCTTCAAGCCACCAGCCTGGGCATGGAGCCATGGCCACTGCTTTGATGTTTATAAGGTTTCAGTCTATTTCTCTCTCCTATTCCAAGTTGGGATTTTATTGTCCCAGATATCTGTCTCATTTCCCTTTGCCTAAAGCTGACCTGAGAGAGGAGCTAACTTGCGTCTGAAGACGCTTGAAGTTATACATGCAAGGCATAAATAACTAGCAAAGATACACAAGTAGTAACCATTCTTAGACACTAAGATGCTGAGAAAGTTTTACTGAACAGAAATTAAAGGGCTCTCTTAGTTGTTCTTACTGCCTAAGATAATATGTCTTACTTGGACTAAGATTATACCTCAAGGACTGTGTTTGTTTTAGTGTTTTGTATTTGTTACTCTCAGTACAAGAAAGACATAGAAGCCTTGGAATATGTCCAGAGAAGGGCAACAAAGCTGTGAAGGATCTGGAGCACAAATCTTATAGGGAGTGGATGACAGAACTGGGATTATTCATCCTGGAGAAGAAGGGGCACAGGGGAGACTTTACCACTCTCTACACAACCTGAAAGGAGGTTATGGTGAAGTGAGGCTCAGCCTCTTCTCCCAAGTAACAGTGATGGGACAAGAGGTGATGGCCTTAAGCTGCACCAGAGAATGTACAGGTTAGATATTAGGAAAAAATGCTTCTCCAAAAGAGTGCTGCTGCCCTGGCACAGGCTGCCCAGGGAGGTGGCGGAGTCACAGTCCCTAGAAGTGTTCCAGAACCGTGTGGATGTGGCACTGAGGACATGGTCAGTGGGCAAGGTGGGGATGGGCTGACGGACAGACTAGATGATCTTTGGGATCTTTTCCAACCTTAATGATTCTGTTTTTTTTCTTTAAAAGGCAAACTCACAGTTCCACATGTACTGTAACACCTAGTTAGGGCAACACGCCAGTATCTATTTTGCAGCATGTGGATCTCATTTCTTTCTTGTTTGTTGCCCCACAAAAGGACCTTCACTTCTCCTTCCTGTACTACTTACAGTGATGGTCAGTGTTTACTTTAGCATCAAAGAAAAACTGGCAGTGTGAGCAAAGGTCAAATGGACCAGCCAAAGCAACTTGGCCACAGTGAACAGAAGGAAATAAAGGTACCCAACCAGATCCCAAAGAGTCTAAATTGGACTCCTTCTTTCTGAACTATATGCTTCCACACAGGACTCATGTTGAAACAATCCGGTGCACATACTCCAGAAAGTTGCTCCTTGTGGAGGTAGAGCACCCAGATAAAGATACTGCATTCCTAAGGCTCAGTATATTTCTGTGAGACACTGTATCACATAGTCCTGCCCTAAAATAATGTGCATTCAAAGGGTGTGCATTTCAGAGCTCTTGACCTTGGTTCTTGGACCTTTGCTCCATCCTGGAAGCAGCACAGACCCCTGACCTCAGCAATACACAGCTGTCCGCTCAGAGATTGCAGTGAGAGCACTGTGTAAATTTCCCAGATACAGGTAAAAGAGAATTGAGCAAAACCAAGACATTCCAGAAGTCTCATTGGCAGGGTATTTACAGCATCTCACTATTGACCCAGGTGTGCCAGTTCAAGACTGCCCAGAGTGGTATGAAAAGTAAATGCTGCTGATCCAAGAGTAAATGATATTTCAAAAAACCGGCCTGAGAAATCAAAGATGGATAGTTCTGACATTAGCCATACTGCTCTTAGTTTTGGAAACAGATGTGCTCTGAATACAGTAGCCTAACAGTATGCTTACACTTTAGACAGACTGTGATTTGTTTTGTTATTATAATTCCAAACAGTCAACCCATACTACTGAACTCTGCTGTTCATCTCTAGGGCAACTAGAAGTATTGACTTTTAGGAATGAGCTTTATTTTGTACAGTTTTGCTCTGGATATCTAGGGAGCAGAAAGAACCTTGAAACTACAGCTTATCCACTTCTTGAGCTGGCTGTAACTGAGATGCTGTGAATGTCAACAACCATGTCAACCACCACTGACATTCTGTAGTAGGAACATCTTCTCCACTAAGAGCCAGGTAAGAATTCCAATCCATTTGTCAGAGGCTAGAAAGCAGCTGTGACACAAGTAAAGGTTAAGTGGTACTCACACAAGGTACAGTAAGGTAAGGCATAAAATTCCCAGCTGATTTTTATGAAGTATCTTAAGGGCAGACACTGCTCTTAAAACCAAATCCTGGAGTGCTCACTCAGCCCGTGGGAAAGACAATTGCATATCAAACTTCAGAGGAATCAAATGCTTACTTCCCACTGCCAAAAAATACCCTAACAAATGATCTGCAGGTGCTTTGGAAACACATCTGGAGACCTGGTGTAGGCAGACTCAACTCAGCCCCCCGAGGCTGCTCTGAGGTGCAGTGGGGGAGTCACACATGATTCACCTGGCTGGAAGGAGAGCAGAAGGAATGTGACTCTTCACCCGAGTTTTAGATCACACTTGCTGTGAGACACGAACGCAGTAAAGGCTGTGTGAAAACAGCAACCTCAGACCATTCAGAGAATTAAGATTTACTGAAAAATGCTCCTGAAATCAAATTCTTTCCTTTGTGGTCAAGTCCAAGGCTCAGGCATTGGGAAGGCAGTTTGTCCAACAAGAGATAGCTAAAAGCTGCCTCTGTGCTAAATGATCAGCCATCAGAAAATCCAGCATTCCCATGCAGTCTTCAAATCTCCAGCGTGGAAGTTAAAACGCTAAGACCCGAGCGGGACTCAATCAGAATCTCAACCTATCTCCTAAAATAACAATCACTGCATAACCTTCATGATCCTGTGCTAAAGAAAACAGACCCTGGGCCATTCTGTGGCCTTCGGCATGTAGCAGACTTACATAACTCACATCCTGTTATCTGCCTTTTGCATAAGGTCTCTAAGTGCAGACAAACCTTGCACTGTACTGGCACAACATCACAGCATTCACATTAATGGTCAGTTTCTCTACTGCTCTGCATTTTCTTCTGCAGCTGTTGCAAACAAACAGCTTCTCTTCTGACCTGACACAACTTGTTCTATTCCCCTTTTTCCACAACACTAAGGATAAAACAGAAGTTCCCAGTCAGTGGCCTGTGGTTACCAACAATCAGAGGAACTGTTGCTTGTGGTCAGTGGATAAGTTACCAGTCATGACACTGGGTTATTATTATTATTTGCAATCATTGAGAATAAATAAATAAATATATAAAATAAAAAGGAAGATTTGCAGTGATCAAAGAGAGAGAAAATGCCCCAGTGTTAACTTTCAAGGGAGGTAGGCCTCCAAAATGCACTCTGACTTTGAAAATACTCTGTGTGTTTGCTGGATAATACTTTTTGCACTGGCAGTTCTTGGGACTCCTGCAGAAGTAGACTGGGATCTCCCAGAGAAGAAAAGGTCAATTGTGCTACAACTTGGAAAGGAGGCACCTGTGAGGTGAAATGTGCTGGAATAAAGTCCTGCTTATAATGAAATATTCATTACTAGTGCCTTGAAAGATATTAAATTGCCATCTTTCTTTCTTTTTGACTTTCTGGAAATGCGTCTATTTGCACTCACTCTGGAGTGAAAAGAGCAAATCTTGGACTTTACATAAGTGCAATTTCAGTGCATTATTTCAGTGATGACATACTGATTCCAGATTCCTTTGTACTCGCTCCAGGCTTCTGTTTATTCTTCTGTGTTTCAGTGGTTGGCAGGCACCCATCATTGGGTACTGCAGACATATCTCTAAGTCTGTGAGGAGACAAGTTGCCACATATTGATGTAATTAATTTAATGAGATGCTGCAGGAAAAACAAGCATAGCAATAGGCTTTCCGCTTTCTCACTGCCATTGAAAGCTGCATTTTTCAGGAGTTCACCATGCAAACTGGGTGTGATACATGCAATTTCACCTAAAGACTTACACAAGAACTGTTTTCTCAACTGCAGCCACAAGTTTCTCAAACCAGTCTTCTCAGTGGTACATCTCAAACAGCTCACACTACTGATGAAGATGTCAAGAGAGATTTTGTCCATGTTGTTTTATGGTTTCCTATGGTCACACATCACACACACATCCAGTCGCTTGCATTTTCCTACAGAAACTTCGTGCACAGTGTAGTCCTTCCCACTGAGATCATGGAAGCATTAGAATCATTAAAGTTGGAAAATACACCCATGATCACCAAGACCAACCATCAGCCCATCCCCACCATGACCACTATGTTCCTCAGTGGTCCCACATCCACACAGCTCTTGAACAACTCTAGTGATGGTAGTTTCACCACCTCTGTGGGTACCCTACGCCACTGTTGCACCACTCCTTCAGAGAAGAATTTTTTTCCTAATATCCAACCTGAACCTCCTGAGGTGCAACTTAAGGCCATCATCTCTTGTCCTGTTACCTGGCAGAGTGAGTGAGCCCCCCCTCACTACAACCTCCTTTCAGGTTATGTACAGAGTGATGAGGCTACCCCTGTGCCCTCTCTTCTTCAGACTGAACAACCCCAGTTCCCTCAGCTGTTCCTCATCAGACCTGTGGTCCAGACCCATCACAGCTTTGTTGCCCTTATCTGGATGCACTCCAGGGCCTCCACGTCTTTCTTGTAGCGAGGGGCCCAAAACTGAACACATCACTCAAGGTGTGACCTCACGATCAGCTCCCTGCTCCTGCTGGCTGCACTATTCCTGATCTAATCCAGGATGCTGGTGGCCTTCTTGGCCACCTGGGCACACAGCTGTTTCACATTCAGCAGGCTGCCAGCTAACACCCCCAGATCCTTAGAGATGAGCAGTGCCTCAGTGCCCTGGCTGTCCCAGAGGCAGGAGGTGCTCAGGAAGCACGGGCTGAATGCCGCCAGGTGCGCTGGCACTGTCCCCAGCCCCATGCCACTCCATCCAACGGCAACCAGCAAACTCAAATTCTGGTTTCGCAACATTGTTGTGTTTTTTTTTTTTTTCCAGAGCCTGTTAATACTCCAGCTAAAAGAATGGTTGGACTGCTGCTCGCTGCCTTATCTTGGAAAGATCTGGTTCCTGACACAGCAGTCCCTTATTGTTGAATATCCTTTCATCTCGCATAAGATCTCTGGTTGGAAACCACGAAGACGTGCTAAGCGGCCTTTAAACACGTACCCAGATGATTACACTGACACGTACGTGCCAGACTGCTTTTGGTGGGTGCGATAACGTCCAGCACCCATCCCAACCCTTCCCTTCTCATGCGCTGCCCGTCCCCACGTCCCGCGGCCGCATCCCCATAGCAACGCACCCACTGCCCGGCAACGGAACCCTCGCGGGCCGCGACACCATTAGAGCCAGGCCCCGTCACGGAGCGGCCGTCTCAACTCGCTGCGGCCCGGCGCTACGCTCCCTCCCCATTGCGGGAGCAAAACCCCTTACCCGGCAGCTTCAGCGCCCGGGACAGCACCGTAGCCATGCTGGAGTGGAGCGGTGCGCATGCGCGCCAGCCCTCCCTCTCCGCGCTTCGCCCGCGGCATGCTGGGAAATTGAGTTCGCCAGGCGCCAGCGGGCGGCCCGCGCTCCTTGCGCAGTCGAGCGGGCCTCGTCTGCAGCGCTCAGGCCACCGCTCCCACCGAAACAGGAGCTCCTCACGGGCTCAGCCCCCATTCCTTCCCCACATATTCTTTTACAAAGGCAGGAATGATGGGAGGCCTGGTTCAGTCTGAGAGCTGTGATCAAGCACTGCCCAGATTTGCACATCTTGTACAGCATGCCCAGCACAGACAGATACAGCAGTGTGCTTGTTGGTCTATGATTCACACAGAAAGATACACTGCTTTACTTATTTTTGGTATAAATATGTGCCTTCATTTATGGGAAGTTATTGGTTGCAAGAAATCTTGATTTGGTTTTATTGTGCGGTTTATAATTACAGTACAAAAGCATACCAGGGTGTTTTCCAACGCTCTCTTCCATCTTCACCACAATCTCCCTTTCCCGCAATGAGGAAGTTGAGCAAGGAGAGTTTTGTGGTTTCCCCAAAGCCATAGAGCCCCAGCTTCCTGATTCCCAGCCCCATGCACGTCCGACACCAGAGACGAGAGTCTGACCAGCTAGGACCGCATCTGCTGCTGCTGTTCTCTTTCCATTCCCTCAGATGACATGCTTGCCCTTTCCCTCTGTGACTCTTTACACGTTCATAGCAAGTAGGGAGCAGAAGAGAGACACCAAGTGGCCCAACTGTTGAAGGGAATTGGTTGATTTTTTTTCGGATAGGAACTGGAAAGAGAGAAACAGCTCCCAATCCAAAATCTTTTAGTACCACTGGGACTGTTTCCATTGATGTCATCAAGCCTCAGATCAGGACTTTCCTCAGAAGCTGCACATGAAGGAGCCATCAGAGTTATTCTTTTTCCTTTCTTTCTAGGTCATTCTGAGTACAAAGTCCTGTTCCGTATTGCCATTTCTCCTCCTCCACTTTTTGATTTAGGAGCAGTGGTGATCCCGTAACTATGTCAATATTTACAAGAGAGATTCTGGATGCTTTTCAAGTCTCACTTAGCAAATCTTGTGATACAGAGGGACAAGAGCTATCCTGCAGGGTTCTTTCTAAGAAAAAGCTTCTGGCATTAATTAGACCTGGAAACAAGGACGCAGCAGAAAACAGCCAGAACTGTGAACTGGAAAATCTGATGTCCTCATTTGTGGTCTTCTAACACCAGGCACACACACATACACTAGAAGAGACTGTGGTTTATAGTGCTCTTGTGTTTATGGCACAGCATTACCCACTTTTAAATGCATGCATCCCCACAAAAATGGCTCTTCTCCAATTCCTGAGACCTCCATGAGGCTAAAGGGCAAAGGCAAGTGATCTATGGTGAAAACGGATGCTTTTGAGGTAATGTGTGGCTGAGCAAAGTGTTCAGAGAGTTTAATAATATGCAAAGCATGAAAAATGAAGTTTTGCTAATTTACATTGCAAATGGAAGCTGATTTGCATTTAGATTGGGCCTGTCAAGTGTACTAATATCAATCAAATAGCTGTGAAAATAAAACTGAAGTTACAAATAAATCATTCATTTATATGAATGTTGCTTTTACATGAATTGTTATTTACTTTTTTTTTAAAATCAATTTGAATATATAAGAGGCTGAAAAAATGAAATACTGCGGTTTAAGTTTGTAAGTCTGAGAGCCCTGGGTTGCAATGTGGTTGTTTAGAAAAGCGTTACGAGCCAAAAAGCATGGAAACACATAGTCACAAGCCCCTCATCTGTGTTGTGCTTGTGCAAGTCCTAACTTCAGCTTCAGCCACTGGACCAGCCTACAGTGAGCATCACACAAGTGAGGAATACTGACCTTTTTGTACAGTGATTTCCCTTGTACAGCTGCAGCTCACTTAGTGAAGGGTGGGACAAATAAATGGTGGAAGAGGTTTGAGTTGATTTGCAGCACTGCCTTCTTTCTTGCCAACCTTTTGCCAGAAATTTCAGCCTTCTCCAGCTTGCCTGCACATAAACATAGAATCGCAGAACATTAAGGTTGGTAAAAACCTCCAAGATCACCAAGACCAACTGATCCCCACCATGCCCGCTACCTGTGTCCCTCAGTGCCACATCCACACACCTCCAGAGATGGCGACTCCACCACCTCCCTGGGCAGCCTGTTCCAATGAAGCACCACCAGTCTTTCTGAGAAGAAATTGTGCCTAACATCCAACCTAAACCTCCCCTGGTTCAACTTCATGCCACTACCTCTTATTCTAAAATGCTAGAAATGCTGAATTCTGCATGTAGGATGGGACAGCCTAAATGTCTGGATCTATTTACATTTAGGCTCTCCTCTCAAACGTAGTATTTGGTATGAGTGGCTGTATAGAGCTCCCTGATTCTGAAAGGGCCCCACTAAAACTGCTGTTGAAAATACTCCAACTAAAGCAGGTCACTCTGGGAGAGCTGCATGATGAAATGATTGTGCATGCAGTTTTGCTGTAAGACTTGAGAGGTATACACCTCCCAGTGAGCTTTTGAGGCTCTGCTGTCGTGTCTGCACCTGGCTGCAGGAAGACAGTATTTGAAGCCACAGCGTCACAAACTACCAGGCCAGGTTATTCTGGTTCACCACATGGAATCTGGCACGGTTACATGATCACACTAGGTTCACAGTGGTTCTGTGTTTGCACAGTTCTGGTTCATTAGCTGGCCTTGGCGATAATTACTGTTTCTCTCTGTCAAGCTGCCTTATGTGCAGGCTGCCAAATGCTGGCCTGTACATCCCTGCTGATCCTGCCTTCTGCTTCTAAGATGAGCTGCCTTTAGCATGGGTCCTCAAAGGTAACCATTTTTTTCCCTCTTTGCAGCTGGTGGCTGACCTTTTGATCGTGCACACTGAAAAGTGGTAAAGTCACTGGCAGCTTGCAGCAAAGTCAGCCTTCCTGCTGCTCTGCTGGGCCCCTCTCTTTCCTGCAGAATGAGTGTGGAGGCTGCTGGAGCTCACAGCAGAAGAACCATAAGTGGTTGGTGAACTTCATAACAGGGAAAATGATGTTCAAAGAGTCTGTGCTGATCTCACCTCTGGTCTGGTGATCCCACAGAACATGCATGCAGATTCTTATGTGACGAAAAGTGGGGTTGTCGGCAGCCCCATGTGCCAACCTGTATCTTTGCACTTCTGTGTGTGCTAAGTTAATACGCTTGCCCGCTCTTCTTGTCCTGCCCTTCTCCTTTGTATTGTTGACTATGGCTATGTGGGCAGACCCAGGAACACAATCCTTGGTACCCCAGTGTCTGGCTGAGTCTCTCCAAAACAGAGAACTCACATGTGAGCAGGTACTGCAACAAATAGGAAATATCTGTCCAAACAACAAATTAAAATGCAATCAAGCACTAAGAGCTAACAGGAAGAAACAATAAGAGTAAGTCAAAACAGCAAAAGTGATATCATTCCTAGCAGGTACAAAGCACTTTATGTTTTCTGCTACCTATAGCAAGAGCATTTCAGGGAAGTTTTAGCAGTGCAGAGTTTTTGATGAGCTCAGGCAGTCAAAGCTGGAAAGGGAAGGATAAGGGTAAAAGAAAGGAATGGGAAAGTGAAACAGTGAGTTTCTTGTTGTTTCACTGTACTGATGAAATTCCTGATCTCTGCCTAGCTCAGTACAGTGGTGGAAAATGGATGCTGGTATCCCTCCCTGTCTGAATGGGGAGCTGGCCAGTGCTCCTCATTCACACTACTGGCAATGTGGATGGTAGCAAGCAGGAGGCAGAGAAGGAAAGTACTGCAGCCCCCTTATGTTCTTTACCCCCAGTAATCCCAAGAATTGCACAGACAGTCTGCTGCCAGCACAAGTCTGGGATGTTGAGCACAACCCTTCAGCAGCACAGTCTGGACTGGGGGTGCCTCAGAGTGCCCTGCTGTGTTCATCTGGATATCCCAGCAGGTTCATTCAAGGCTCATCTGTGTCCTAGTGTCCCCGCATAATGAGACTGCATCTACCCAGTGTTAAACAGGGAACAGCTGGAGACAGATGATTGGGTTATTTGCTTGTTGCCTGGACATTTTGTTTGCTTGCTTGAAGTCTGACAAAACAACCTTCCAGTTCTTCCGGAGGCTGGTTTGTGTTAAGCCTGTGTATTGTGTGCTGCTTTTGAAAACTGGTGTTTCATAACTCTGCAACCGAGTGTCGTATTTCTTCAGTAGCTTCAGTAGCATGGCTCTGTAATAGGGCAGTCTTCTCAGAAATTTCCCTGCCATGAAGCCAGTGGGACTGAAGCAGGCAAGAGTAGCCTGAATTGTTGGTGCTCAGTGTCAGAGAAACAGGTAGCCCTGGTGGTGGACCTCTTCCATGAGTTGGGCTGGCAAAGCACTGTCTGATGTTTATAGATATGCTCAGGAGGAGCCCACTCAGTTTCCCTGCCCATCACCTCCTCACCTTGAGTGAACCAGCACTGCCGTGCTGCAACCTCAATGCGGAGGCCATTACAGCTGGGGATCTGGATCTTACTGTAACTTGCACGCAGCCTCTTGCTCCGTTATTGCTGGACTTGGGTTTTTATTCTGAGTGGCTGGACAATCCTTCACCCTGCGGAAAAGGACCTTTTTTTTTTTCCCACTACTTAGCACAGACATTTTGGCCACAGACAGCAGAGTTTTAAATCAGAATAGCCTGGTCAGGAAGCAGAAAGGGTGTTGTTGCCAGCTGATACTGGATAAGTAATATAAGGAAGAATGCAGATTTGGCCACTGCACTTGCAAGCAGTGCCGTAGGTCTAGTCATGAGCCTAGATGTGCAGGAACTGTGTTGCTCAGGGCCGCAGCGGCTGCACATCCTCAAATCACTGAAAAATGTCAGTGTGACACAGATGAGATCAGATCCGAGGCCTCACCTCCTGCTTCACAAAAATTATCCTTTTAATACCTTGCATTTCTTTGGGAATCACTTTGTCTAGCGCTGACCAGACCTGAGCCTGTTAGCCTTGGCAGACACAGACCTGGAGGAGGAGGAACAGGGAAAAAAAAGAATAACCC